GGACGCTTTTCTAACACTAATGTTTAGAGATAATATGTGTTTCTCCTATTAGTTTTGCCAATAGGTGCGTGCCATAAATTTTTATAGTGAGATAGCAATTACTTGCAATGAGAAAAATAACGCACATTGAACTCGAATAAATACTTACTAGCTCCTCAAGTAATTCATTTGGGAGCCCCATCAACAAAGGTGGTCATGGGCCAGGGTTCCGAGTTTTGGTTCTATCAGTTGCTGCGCCAGCACAGAGAAACAGACAATTGATAATCATTGGCGAGCATCAAATGCTGCCCTTGTAGCTGCTTCAACTGAAAACAAACTCCCGTTAGCTTCATGTACGGACTATGCGCTCAACGGGTGTACGTACGTCAGTACGTATGTTCCTCCCCTTGATAAATACTTGTCAACATTCACCGCTCAACAATCACTCCGAGAAGGATAGGGGAAGACTTGATTGTAGTTCTAGCCAACTACCATTGGGATTCTGCAAATCTATGACCATCAAATTCATTGCTCATGCTGAGGAATTCATCACAAAAAAGAACGATCATTCTTTGGACTAGTTTGGAGAATTGATAGGTTTATCGAGACTGTCTTGCACAAGATGCTAGTATATAGACACGCAAGAGAGGAGAGAGTTTGAGGAGGAAGGACATAGTAAAATAATTGATCTTAACAATAGGTTTGAAAGTCAAAAAATGAAATGTCACTTTCCACCTTTTATAAGGAATAATGGGCTTATGGGCCCTGGCTTACTTCAGCAATTCCCGCTCAGACTCAATTATTGAGGCCAACCCAAAGAAACCACACCCACGCGACGTCGACAGTACTATATTCATTTACTCTTAGTCGAGGAACATTCGACATAGTTCTAACCAGGGCAACATCCGTTGGCCATCTTGCCGTAGGGTATAGAAGTGGACACATCTTGCTTCGTGCCATCTCGATGTTTCCGTGTGTGAGGAACGCCTACTTCAGCCGTGGTACATTTATTAAGGTCCTTGCCCCACAGACAGCATCTGATACTTATCTCGTATTTTGATTGAGAATACTGAAGCAATCTGCAAAATGAAGGGTCCTTAATGCTATCCTAGAAGTTTTTAATCCAAGGAATTTTTTACAATCAAGCCAAATTTAAAGTTTCTGGTTGGGTCAGAGTTGCATTCAACCCAACTGACTCACTATCGCCTGCTTGTTCACCACTGTTTTGAAATGGTCTGACGAGATGGCACGTGCTCAGTAATGGACCAGCAAGTCAATCCCCATTGCATAATGTCCTTAACAAGCCAGGTACGTCCAACCGCTTCGTTCACACCTGCCAGTCGCACCCTGCCAGCGCAGCTAATGAATACATGCACGCCTTGTCGTTGCGCTACGTTAGCTTCTGTGCCTCCTGAGCCATAATCAGCTGTTTTAAGTTGAATCCCCTGCTTCAGGGACAATTATCATGAATCTATTTTGTCTCGCAACTCTTCTAATGACAACCAAGGGGGGGGAGAAGGTGGCCGCGGGGGGGCGGGGGGGGCAGGTTTACAGGTCTTGTTCGGCCTGAACATTAAACCTTCGTTAAGAAGGAAAATGTGGAGGAATTCCCGCACTCTGGAGCAAAAGGTAAAATTCTTGTGAAGATAGTAGGTCGGACGGCCTGTGAACATTTTGGAAGTGGCGCCATAGGCTGAGGACGCAAGGGGGTACGGTAATTTTCATGATCTAAGTATATCAGAACGGGCAAAAGATCCGATATGAATATATAGGTATGGGAAAAAAAAAATAAAACGGGACTACTAAAGTAGGAGGAACTATCTCAGACAAGAAAACCACGCGAGAAGTTAGGAGGGTATCGTCGTGAAGCGCCTCGCACACCTCAGCCGGGTATAGGACAAGACAAAAGAAATTGGACTTTGGTGTCGGGTAGAGAGAGAGTCTAATCACTCTCCGGTGCGAGTGGGCTTCTCGTTATCTTAGTGATGAGTAAAGCACTTTAATTACGCAAAGAAGAGACCACCGCTCGGCAATAATTCCTAAGAGTTTTAAGCACATGCAACATCCCATATTTACCATCCCCGAATAAATTCCGCGAGATTCAAGCTATTGAAAGGTACCCGGGGGAGGGAAGGAAATTGATAGGCAAAATTGAAGGGTGAAGAATATATATACCAATGATTAACAGCTGGGAGAGTTAAACGTCACTGATATAGCTGTTATTGACAGGTAATGTATTTTGATTGAGTTTGGGATGTGGCAGGGGGGGGAAGGAAAGAAAAGAAGATGACGGGGGGGTAGGGGGGGCTATTTTTTCTTCTTTCTGAGATTATTACAATTGACGTGGGATTGGCCGTGAGGAGGAGGGGTGCACGGGAGTGGGAGGAGAAAGATAAGACGGGAGAGGGGAGAAAAGGGACACTGCGGGAGGGGGAGGGGTGGGAGAGACACCAAGAGAGAGAGGTTGGTAGGGTATTCGAATTTTTAGTGACAAACAATGGGCCGTGGGGCCAAAACTCAAAAAATAACAGCAATAATGTTATTTATAGCCAACATTTTTCAATCTTTTTAGGGTATTTGCGTAGATCCACGAAAATCTGAAGAATTTTACTTTCAATGCAAGTGCAAAAACAAATTTCCACTTCTAAATTTTATAACAATCTCCTCTTCAAATGTAGGCACTACCAGAACACAGAAAAAATCCTTACATGTTTCATCCTCCTCGCAGCTAGTCTTCCGTCCGACGTTTGACTGTTGAGGGACTTAGCCCACGCACGTGGCCCTCCTGGGGGTCGGATGGCCCTGAAAACTATCTCGCCAGCGGATACGGCAACCGAGCGACAGACAATTAGATATCAATTTTAGGTGAATCAAACCATAAAAAAAGAGAGAAAATAACAAAAGATAAAGAAAAAACACACTTAATCCTTGGGAAACAAAGCTTCTGGGAAAATTAAACTACCATTGTTAAGACATTCAATCCATTTAAACGTCGCCTGGCCAAAGTTCTGAGGATTAGGTAACGCTTTCCTCTTTGAGAGCCTTCCTTGGTATTTTTGGTAACTAGTAATTTTTTGTAGAGGTTTTAGTAATTTATAGGCATTCTGCGTTTAATCAATTGTATTTTGTTCATATTTGGTTTCATCCATTTTATAATAAATCTCCATTCTAAATCACATTTGTCACAGACTATGAAACTTAGGGCGACTGGGAAATGACGTAAACGGGAATTTACCCACACCCTGATTGAAAAACGAGCTAGGGTTGCAAGGCAACGAACCACGCTGCGCCTGCAACGACAACTGTTCCATCGCCAAGAACAGTCGGGTGACCCAACCTTATTCAATGATCTTTTTCTGAGGAAGGGTTTCGCACCAAGAACAGCTGCGGTCACGGCAGTCTGTAAAGCATAGCCATGGTCTGTCTGGACCGCCGAAGAGGTGAACTGTACCCTGATGGAGGCGAAGCCAGAGATAATGATATAATATAATGAATTAATCACTTTCACATGGGAACAACATTTTTGACTGTTGTCTACAACAAGAATGGCAAATCTGAGTGTTTATGTCATCTTTTAATTTTTTACTCTTCATTTCACTCTATAGAACAGTTGGGTGACGTCGCATATAGTGTTTTATTTTGTGCCTTAAGAACGGCCAACGCAACAAGTCTGCACCTCACACATTAATTGAAAAAATATGAACAATGTGTCTACTGTCAGCTCTAAAGAGTATTTCATATCATTTAAAAGTAGAGTGAAAGTAATACAGGAATAATATAGCTGGGTTTGCAACCAACTGATTAGAGTCTTTTGTGATGAAAACTTACCATATTGCTTGCTATCATTATAGCTTCCAAAGCCATTTATATTTCGGTTTCTTCTTCAATAAATCTGAAAAATGCCGCATAGCTTTATCAACATTGGAAAAATCATCGATTTAATTAGGTATCTTATGTAAAAGTTTTAATATAAATCGTGATTTATTATGAGTAAGTTTATTTTGGTAGTGAAATTTCTTTTTACAGAGTATTTTTGACAGTATATAGAACCACCTTGAGAGAGAACTATAGAAATTTAAAGTAATTATATATTTGATTATATATTAATTATACATATTTGCAATATAGTTTATGGATTCAAATATTAAGAGAAAAATGGAGATTAAATAGAAATGTGATTTCTTTAGAGTGATTAGAGATAGAAATGGGGAAGAATGTGTTATTTATATATTGCTCTATTTGATTTTTGTTTTTTTTTGTTGAGAGGCGTTTTAATTAGGGTTGATTGAATATTGTATAAGTTCTAGAGGTGTAGCAAAGAACCAAATGTAATTTTTTACGTCGTTCACCGCAGAGAGGCTCTCTCGCTCTCGCCACCAATCCCTATTTAAAAGCCACCTTGAACCATAAAAGGCAAGAGCGGCGTCTTTTTATCTATTTTAGTTTGAGAATAGGTGCTGTTAGAGCGTATTGAGATGAATGAGGATGAAAAAAAAATTTAAGTACATTTGATGGGGAATTGCTAATCGCTAGTACGATTAATAGGATTTGTCCACATAAAGAACTCGGTCCGATTCATTTGGTGGGGGTTTTTAATGTTAACACATTATTAACATACAATTGTGCGACCACTTTTTTTCATAAGCTATACACGGAAGAGCTCAGATAAATTAGACCATCGTAACGAAATAAACCACACGAGGCTGCGAGACGTTGCATTTTTGGGAAGACGAGTGCACGGTTTTGGTTTCCGGCGTTACTCTGCGCACACAAAGGGTGACCGAGCGAGTATGATTTTTTTTTTTTTTTTTTTAACATAGATAAATGTGTTAATCAAGACATACTCTTCAGACCCAAATCTATTTTACCTCGAAGGAAAAAGAAAAAAATTACTGATTGCTATCGCTAGTGGGTTGGTTTTCACTTCACTTGCGACATTGTCGAAGGCTCAGACAAAACCCCCCCACGCGCATGAAAAGCACGTGTCCTGTACCTGACAAATGAAACTGAAACTTTTGCTGCATAAAAATCGTCTCTCTGAAGAAAGAAACCGAAAAAAATCCAGGCAGACTCTGTAAAAGAAACTGCGAGAAACTGAAGGAAAGTTAGAGACATTTGCGCTTCTCTAATGGCTAATCTGCCTCAGTCTCTCTCCATGAATGCTCCTTTTGGTGGCCCCAGTGCCTCCACTCCTACCGCCGCCGGTGCACCGCCTAACAAAGACCGAAAAATGGCGTCAGCAGAGCATTTGGTGCTTGACCTAAGTAATCCAGATCTTCGAGAAAACGCCCTTCTTGAGCTCTCTAAGGTAAGATTAATTTGATCACTTCTTCGATTGTAACGCTTTTCTGTCTACTTTGATTCAATTTCTTTAGCTGTTATAATAGGAAAAGAAAGGAAATTATGATAAGTAAAATGAAAGGGAAAAGAAAATTAAATTTGTTTTTGATTGTGTGGGTCTTAACTTAAGAGATGGAAAGATAGTGGATTTGATACTACAATTTAGAAAGCTCTATCTCCCCGTTTCTCTGCATTGTGGTAGGAAATGTTAAGTGGGTAATTTTCCCTCTTCTTTCATTTATTATTTCCCTTTTTCATTTAAAAACCCAAACAAAGAGTTGTATCGATTTTCCTTTTGGTTCTTCTCATTTCCCCTAATTGCTTTTAAAACAAACAGGCTTAGGGTTTCTTATTTAATCGAGAAAGGTGCTATTGTTGTGCAGTTTCCAACGTGTTATCATAATGTTTTTATTGGTAATGATACAATTTTATTAAATTTGGCTGTTTACCGAGTGGATTTCTGAATTTTGCCTCTGGTTCCTACAATACCCCATGCTTCACTTGTACGAAGCTGTTATGGACAGGAGTGCTAAGTCACTTATCTGAGCCTTTTGTGCTATGCATGTCCAGGAACACCCTCCCCCTTCTCTCCCTCCCTTCCTCCCTCTCTCTCTCTCTCTCTCTCTCTCCACACGAAACATTTGCACTTGCATTTCATTAATGGCTGGGATTGATGGCTGCACACAACTGCCAATACCATTGGCCTTTAACTTTATAAGGAGTTTGAGTTTCTGCTTTATGCGTAATGCCATTTCGTTCCTGAAATTTTCTATTTGGACAAGTTTGGTTATTATGTGGCTATGTTGCATGGAAACGGAAACGTGGAAGCGCCGGAAATGTTGTTTTTAAAAGTATAGGAAACAGAAACACGTAAATATGAATTATGTGGCTATGTTGCATGGAAACGGAAACGTGGAAGTGCGGCAAATGTTGTTTTTAAAAGTATAGGAAACAGCGGGAACAGAAACACGTGAAAATATGAAAATTATGATGGCGTATGTTGCATGGAAACGGAAACGTGGAAGATGCGGCAAAATCGGTTGTTTTTAAGGAAGTGTATACCGGCGTTGGGAAACAGAAAGCACGTAAAATTATGAAAAATATAGGATAGATTTGGTCAAATGATAAAAAATAAATTATTGAAAATAGTAACCAATGCAAATACATTCAACTAAAGTCCAAGTCCAATCAAGCAAGTTTGAATCATGAATCCAAAAGAATTAACAGAGTTCCATACTCAAAAAAGTGCACAGTGTTTGTGTTCATCTTAGGTTTATGTATTTTCTTTAATTAGAGAAATTGAATTTTTATTGCAGAGCTTTCAATTTATGAAAGAGCATATTTTGAGGTGAGGGGAGAACGGGTCTCGCCACAGTTTCCTAATTTGTCAGAGAACGAATCCACATCATGACCGTTTTCAAATGTTTCCATGCAGGAAACTGTTTCACAGAAATGCAGAAACGGCAGCCAAAGAAAGTTCCGGCCGGAACATAGTTATGTGGGAATAGGGAAATGATCAGCTAGATTAAAGAAAGTGTTTGTAGCTTTTAGGAAATGAGCGTGCAATATCAGGTAATTGGCAGTAACTGTGGACCCATGGGTGTTGGATCATCCTTTAGGTTCTACCTGGTTTGTGGTTCAAAGGAGGTGTGATGCAGTCTGAAAGGAACATGAGATTACTGTTTGGTATCGCCTTTTGTGCTGACTGACAACTGTCGTTGGCCTACAACTGTGTAATGTGATGTGCCAGTAAGTATTCACTGTGCCAATAGTAATATCTTTGATCCTAAAGTTTTGAAACTATTCAACCAATTTCAAAGGGTTCAGTCAAAACTGCAGTTATAATCATCTGTTGGAGATGTATCTTGGGAGAATATTGCTGTCAAATTTCGGCTAAATGAATAGAGTATAGTTTTCCGAGAGGGATTATATGTTTGAACTTTCACAATCGTAAAGATCATATTAACGTGCAAGGCCTTAGAAACCCTTTCTTTAGGTTTTATAAAGTATTCGTAAGAAAGATCGTAGATGTCCTTCTTTTTTATATGGGAAGTGGTTGCGAAACATTGAATGAGATTCCATAATTGTTGGGGTCCCACTCTCTCCACTAATGTGGATTTTTTTTCATGTCGTTATTTTTCTAGCTCTTTGTACACATTAACCCAAGTAATAGAAATCTGTTCAACATAAATCTTCTTCATTGATTATCTTTAAATCAGGTGAGGAAACTGGGATCATGAAGTGAGGGATTAAACATTTTCTCCAGCTACTTGAATGTAGTCAAATATTCATGTGTGGTATTACCAATGCTTCTTGTTCTTTAAGGTGGAGCTGGCAAGTTTGCTGGCTGAAGCAATCTGTTGTGTGCTGTAAAGAAAAGGTTATAAACTTGGTGTCTGCTTTTGGTTTTTCGAATTTTTGTAGAAAAAACAAGGGAAAAATTATTTCAAAAGATTATGGCTCCTTTCGTGTGTGAAATTCTTTTGGTACTGATTGCTTGAGCCTCATACAGTTGTATGGGCCTAATAAGACTTGTGATTTGATCTTTGGTTTTTTATTTGGTTGTAAAGAAAGAGACATTATTTCAAGATTTGGAGACTCCCATTGTTGTGGAATACTTGTTTGGTAACTGATTGCTGCACTTTTACAGGTAATCGGAGGCCATCTGAAGTTTGGTAATATAGATCTTGTCCTTTGTTTTAAACGTCTTTTTTTTTTTTCTGTAGTTGAAAAATAAATATCGTCCATGTGTTATTTCTCTAGTATATTTGAATAAAACTTTCTTGCAGAACTTTATATATTCTCGTTCCAAAATTTGATATGTGGAAGCTTGCATTATCTAAGGCCGTGAATAAGAATGATACTCAGTTTTGGTAAAGCGAATGGTGCCTTTGTGAACATGAAAAAATGGGAGATGGGTGCATGGGGGTTAGCATGTTAGGTGGTTGGGGTTTGGAAGTACTATTTAGTTGCTCTGAGACTCTTGTGTGGAAGTTGTTTAACAATATGTATTTTGCGTAGGCATGTCTAGTTCACATGTGATAAGTTGATTAGTAGATTCAAGGTGTTGTCTTTTTAATTGAAGCTAATGATGCAAAGATTAGAGCTCGGACCTGACATTTTTTTCTGTATCCGCGCTGTAGCGGCTTAGGACGACGAGACGAGAGCGGGGGGTGGAACTGGGCTCGACGCTTTTGACATAGAGTGCTATTTGTTGGTGTAGGGGAAATTTGAATTTCCTCTAAACCATTCATAATCCTTGTGTGTCTGATTATTGTCCAAATTTTGATTTTGTTTCTACTTGCCAGGAGATATGTTTCCTATATATATCCTGTTGTTATCTCCACCAAACCTTCCTCCGCACGAAATCAAGACTCGAGTTTGCAATAGGCCATTGCTCTTCTCTCAAGGGTCGAAATCTTTTCGCTTTCTCTTTCTTCTGTGTTTTCAAATATTGTCTAAAATAGGTCGTAGTTCTCATGTAGCGAAAAGGTCAAGAAGCTGGTAATTTTCTTAATTGGAGTGTTGGTTTCAGTAACCTAGATTGTCACAGAGGAAGAAGTGGAATTCTTTTGGTACTATTGCTGCACTTTTACAGGTATGCCATCTGAAGTTGGTATTAGATCTTGGTCCTTTGTTTTACTCTTTTTTTTTCTGTATTTGAAAATAAAATCGTCCATTGTATTCTCTAGTATATTTGAATAAAACTTTCTTGAAACTTTATAATTCTCTTCCCAAATTGATATGTGGAAGCTGCATTTCTAAGCTGAAAATGATACTCATTTTGGTACGAAATGGTCCTTGTGAAACATGAAAAAATGGGAGATGGTGCTGGGGTAGCATTTATGGTTGGGTGGAAGTACTAATTAGTTCTTGACTCTTTGTGGAATTTGTTAAAATATATTTTGCTGCATGTCTATTCACATGTGATAGTGTATAGTTCAAGGTGTTTCTTTTAATTGAAGCTAATATGCAAGATAGACTGACCACATTTTTCTGGTACCACGCTTTTGACATAATGCCTATTTTTGTTAGGAAATTGAATTTCTTAACCATCATATCCTTTGTGTCTGATATTTCCAAATGTTTGAATTTTGTTTCTACTTGCAGGAGATAGTTTCTATATATCCTGTTTTATCTCCACCAAACCTCTCTCCCGCACAATCAAACCGAGTTTGCAATGCTCTTGCTCTTCTTCAGGTCAAATCTTTTCCTTTCTTTCTTTGATGTTTCAATATTGTTTCTAAAATAGTCGTTCTGCATAGGAAATCAAAGCTGTAAATTTTCTTAATTGGAAGTTTGTTCCATACCTAGATTGTCACACTTTTTTATTGAAGAAATGAAGTCAGGATGTTTCAGTGCTTTATCTTCTTCGGATGAAATGTTATGTAAGGATGCTTAACGGAGAGAGAGAGAGCAAGAAAAAAAAAAGAAGAAGAAAAGGTCTTTATGCTTTGGGTTCTCACTAAATCTTTTGACACATATCATTAGTCCTTTACATGATTAACGTCATAAATGTGACATTGGTGGTCTTAATATGCCCGGTAATTCTGTAAGAATTGAAGGATTTAGATAGACAGTGTGGGGGATCAACAATATATTCCTCTCAGAACGTGGAAAAGCTTGAACCACCGTTCTCAAAATACAATCTGTAATATGGTTAAATTTTATCTTTTAAAAACAACTTTCCTAATTTTGTTCTATATGTTATCTGTTCTGGGAATTTGAGCAAAATGTTGGTAGTATGTGGTGTTTTAACCCAAAAAATTCTAGAGCATGTAACCAGGTTAAACACAGACAATTTTCCTTTTTTTTTTTTTTTAATTTAACCTATGATCAGCTTCTTGTTTCATTTTCTTGCATTGATAATTGCATGCCCAAATTTTTGTATAGCAGAATTTAGGTTTTCTGAATTGCTGGTTCAAGATGGTTTTAATGCTTTGCAATCTTTTTACATTGTCTTACAGTGTGTAGCCTCTCATCCAGACACAAGGATGTTGTTCCTCAATGGTAATGTTCTTGATCTCAATTCTCATAAACTCAACAGTGTTGCATTGAGAAACTGCCAGTTTCCTAGTTCCATCTTACCTTGTGGAATCAACAAATCTTGTTCATGGCAACATTAATTTTTCTCCTGGCTCCATGGAGATGATGTAGTGCAACTAATATGATATTAATGGTTCTTCCAACTGATACTTTCTCCTTTACAGCTCATATACCCTTGTATCTTTACCCTTTCCTTAATACGACTAGCAAGTCAAGGCCTTTTGAGTACTTGAGGCTGACCAGCTTAGGTGTCATTGGTGCCCTTGTGAAGGTACGTCCTTGCTGATATTCAGTTAACTTTATGTTTTATTCATTTGCCTATATATTTCTCTTAACAGGTTGATGACACTGAGGTTATTAGTTTCCTTCTCTCAACTGAAATAATTCCATTGTGCCTGCGTACCATGGAGATGGGTAGCGAATTGTCAAAAACAGTTGAGTTTTGGTTTGAGTCTTTTTTATTTATCCTACTGCTATATCTGTGACACTGTTTATTCCTTTTGGAAATGTGTTTTATCTTCTCCTAATTAACTTTGAGTACATAATCTTACGTTTCTTATTTGATTTGGTTCCTTAAAATTCTTTTTTCAGTCACTAGAAGGAATATCTTGTAAGTTTTGCCATTCAATATCTTAGAAATTTTGGTTTTTAGCATAGACAAGATTGTCATTCTCGTATATCTCTTGTAAGCAAGTTGCCAACAAACAAATTTACTACTTTGGTTATAGTTAGTTTTGTGGAGTGGAATGGAATAGCTCATTATGATTGGCAGCGTCACTCAATTTGACTTGGTTTCAACAAGGTCACTGTTGCTAAATTCTTGTCGATATCTATGTAAGTTTTTTATGTGATGGCTAAATATACAACCTTATAGCCTATAAAACTACTTCTTAAAAAGAAAAAAAGGTTAATCGGTTCGTAGATGGGGCTGAATTTTATCACCCTCTCTAGATACTGACTTTACTGAAACCAATACTGAAGAATTGAGTGATTTATTTGATGCAAATTGAAGCTATGTAATTATGCTGCAATTAACATGAGCGAACTAAGCCATTATTTTTTATGTAAAATGAGGCCAGTGTATGCTTTTCTTGCTAAAATTGTATGCAGCTGATCATTTAAAAATTCTGAAGAAAATAATGAGATGGTATGTCTGAAAAATGCAAAGTTAGTTTTGTGGACATTTGTGTGGGTTCTTGTTTTGGTATTTGCAGCTGTCAGGCTACTGAGACTTTTTGCTAAAGAATTTTCTGATGGCAGGTTGCAACATTTATTGTTCAAAAAATCTTGTTGGATGATGTGGGCTTGGATTATATTTGTACTACAGCAGAACGGTTTTTTGCAGTTGGTCGAGTTTTGGGCAACATGGTTGCAGCACTGGCCGAACAACCCTCATCTCGGTTGTTAAAACATATTATTCGATGTTATCTTCGACTGTCAGATAATCCTAGGTACAGTATTAAGTTAATAATGGCTCCAAGGATCCATTTCTTTTCTTTCATCAATTTGTTTGTTCTTTTTCTTCATCATCTGTTGTCAACCATTCATTTTGGCTCATGTTTAAATTTTGCATATGCTATTGTCTTTGGAATTCAGGGCTTGTGACGCATTAAGAAGTTGCCTGCCAGACATGCTACGAGATGCCACCTTCAGTAGTTGCCTTCGTGTAAGTACTGCTTGTGTAATTTGTCATCTTGAAACAGAAACATTGTGTTCCTCTGGAGAAGGGTAATGCATGGCTTGTTATCTTAGTCAAACAAGATATGATATACTGTGGGATATACAGCCAGCGAGTTTTACTATACGTAAAAGCCTTCTTTATATTCATATCAAACAAGGGATTAGGGTTCATACTTTAACTAACAGTCTTTCTAATGCTTTCAGGAAGATCCAACAACTAGGCGATGGCTGCAGCAGTTGCTTCACAATGTAGGAGTGAATCGGGTTCCAGGGCTTCAGGCTGGTGGGGGTTTTGATCACATGCTCGTGAACTAAAATTGAACTGCAAAACTTTCTTAAGATTGCGTGCTGTTATTTGCAATTCCGGCAAATGACTCATCATCTTTGATTTTTTTTATGTGAATTAGCATCAGGTGTTTAATGTAGTTACTGCTTGTCGGCATGGAATAACCCCAAAAGAGAAAGTTGTCTCTGTGCCAGTAGCTTTAGTGTTGTTCATGTGTAATGGGAACTGGGAAAAATGTTGTTCATATTGATTTTGGGGGGTGAGTCCCAATGGTTTAATGCTTTTGCTGTGATTGGATTTCAGACTATTACAGATCAAATTTTAGAAAATTATAAGAAAATCATTATATTCATTTAATTTCTATTCAGGCTGCCCTTCTTTTGCATTTTCCCTATACGTTCTGGCGGAGTATGTATACCTATTTTGTGTTGCTGCAGTCAGTCTCAGTCAGAGACATTGGTGGCATGTTTTTTTTCCTTTGAGAAAATTAATTAATGTTAATGTGTATTTAAATATTTATGATAACATCTTTTATTTTTTAAGCTAATAATCATAGATTGAATTAGTCTTGTAAGAAAACAACACAAATCAATTAACTAAAAATAAATTTTAAATTCTTTTTTCTCTTTTCTTTTTTGGTATGACTTCATAATATGTATATGGTTCATTCAAAGGTAATATATATTTTTTTTTCTAGTGAATTATTAGTTATTTATTATGTGTCTTCATTAGATTGGTTCAGTTTGGTGTATAAATGGGCTCATATGCCATGATAACGGTTTCTGAAACTCACAAACCAAAAAAGCATAAAGCAGTTTTTAGCGTTCTTCAGGAAACAGAAAACATAGTCGTAATCTTAGCAGTTAAGTCAACTGATGAAAACTACCTCATTACATAACCTTCTCTTCAGCGACTGAGAATTAGTACATTAAGTCACCAACTTGTAACTAAAGTCTAAATGGACCCCTTTCACAATCACCCCGCCCATGCTTCCTCCGGATTCTGCTTGCCAGCGTCGGCCGCCGCCCCTGCCATTCCTAACGCCGAGCCTCCATCATTGCCGCCATCAAGCGAAATGGAAGAATCGGTGTTTGCCGTTGAAAAAATCTTAAACTATTCTTTCAAAAACAAACGCCTTCTTGAGGAAGCTTTAACGCACTCCTCGTATACAGACTCTGCCTCTTATCAGCGTCTTGAGTTCCTCGGCGATGCCGCTTTAGGACTTGCCGTGAGTTGCCATGTTTTTCTAGCTTATCCTCAGCTCGATCAAGGCCAGTTAACTCTTCTGCGTGCTGCTAATATAAGCACGGAGAAACTTGCTCGAGTTGCGATTAGGCATGGGCTTTATCGCTTTGTAAGACGTAATGCTGCTTCCCTTGACGATAAGGTAAAATTAGATGAGGAGTGGAGGTATTTTGTACTTCAATTTAGTTCTGTTTATGTTTTGCTTTTTTCTAAATTTCTGTTTGCTTAATCCATACGTAGGTTACGGAATTTACTGATGCAATAATTCATGAAGATGATCCAGTTGCTCATGGTGGCTCAGTTAAAGCGCCTAAAATTCTTGCTGATATTATAGAGTCCATCGCTGCTGCTATATACTTTGATGTCAATTTCGATCTTCAAAGATTATGGGTGGTAATTGAATTTAGAATTAGATTAATTTCTTTAACGTTTGTGAGTTTATGGCAATTGTATATAAGGTATTTTGGTTGTGTTGCACTTACAGATATTTAGGGGTCTTTTAGAGCCCATTGTTACCCTTGAAGACTTGCAGCAACAGCCGCAACCAGTTACAAAGTTGTTTGAGCTTTGCCAAAAGCATCGGAAGGAAGTTGATATCATATACTGGAAAAAAGAGGCAAAACATATTGCTAGTGTGTTGGTTGATGGTGAATTTATTGCTTCTGGTTCTTCTGAGCAAAAGGAAATTGCAAAGCTTAACGCTGCTAAGGTAGCTTTGCAGAAATTATCACTTTCTCTGGCTTCTAATGTTGGTCTGTCTGATGACATGGACATTGTGGACGGATCATTTGAGATTGAAGGAGCCAAACAGAAGTTGCATGAACTCTGTGGCAAGAGAAAATGGCCAAAACCAAGTTACAAGTATGCATTTTTAGCTACAGCACACTTAATAATTTATAACTGGATGCTTGCAAATATTTGTTTGTGAATTTATTATTTTCATAATTTATGTTTGCTTCATGGGTTGATCTTCTATCTTTTGAGTTTTGACTATGTCTTGGTAAAACTCCTTTATAAACTCTCATATTCAGTTTCATCGAGAATCTATATTAGTTTAAAGTGCTATTAGCGTTACAAATTGCCATTAGTAAATTCTTAGCTTGCATATTACCAAAGTGCTGCTATGATCGAATGATGAGGATTGATTTGATATTGGATTTGTACCCCAACCTACTAGTTTACCATCCAATATGCATCGATAGGTGAAGGGGAATAAAGTGGTGGGAATTAGGTAAATTGAATAAAATGAGGCATTCAAATTTTGAGTTTTGGAAGGTAGTTTTTGGTGAACAAATTATGTCAGGGCTTTGATTAATGTATTATGGCTAAGAAAAGCTCTGAAAACAACTGAGTTTCTTTGCTTTTTCATTTAGCAATTTACTCTTGTCAATCTTCGACTTCTCTACTTGTCTTCTAAATACAATTTAACATGCAGAATTGAGAAAGAAACGGGCCCTTCACATGAGAAGAAATTTTTGTGCTCAGTTCAGATTGCAACTATAGATGGCCTGCTCAGCATGGAAGGAGAAGAAAAAATGAGAATAAAAGATGCAGAAAATTCTGCAGCTTCATTAATGATACGAGCTTTTCAAGAAAATCATATTGCCTGACATTCTATTATCCTTAAATAACCTGCAGTATGAGGTGTTATAGCAGGGATGCTTTTGGTACTTGCTTTGAGTACAGATTGATTGACGAGTTGCAAACGTTCTACTCAACCTAGTTGTTAGCAAGAAATTAATTTCATGTATCATTTGTATTTTTCTTTACTGGTTCTTCCTCCAATAAACTATACTGCATAATGTTAAATGTTTCAAAGTTGGAAATAGTGATTTGTGTAATGCAACTTTTTAAGTAATGGGTCAGTGATGTTTGTATGCTATTGTAATCTGTGTAATTCCATTTTTAACTGCTGATTGTTACAGTATTTGTCAAGTGTAATACATAGATGAGCTTGAAATAACGGAAAGGCTAAATATATAGATGTATACAGTTGATTTTTTGATATTATAGGAAAAAGAATTTCCTTCATCCTCGGACAATTGGAGAAATTGATCTAAAACCTTGTGTTTTGGGGACTATTTTTAGGGAAAATAGATTCAAATGTTTTTGAGAGACTTATTTATTCTCCTCGTTGTATTGTAGGAGCCCACCAGTGCTATTTATTAATAAGGAAAAATGATACAATAAGTTTATATATCATTAAAAAAGGATACAGAAACATCAATGGGGTGGTGGCGCAGTTGGCTAGCGCGTAGGTCTCATAGCTAAAACAGTTGAGTCATCCTGAGGTCGAGAGTTCGAGCCTCTCTCACCCCATTTCTTTTTTATTCTTATATATTTTTTTTATTTGTCAATAATGATGCTCATTGTAATTTTAATTTATTTGTAAGAAATAATTAAATAAAATATTTACCATAGTTTTTCATATTTTGCTTTTTTGTCTGAAAATTTGAATAAATTCAAAATCAAAAAGAAGATTCATGACCAAAACTTTAATTAGTATAAAACTTTCATCGTTAACAATTTTCATTTTATTAAATCTATAATTATATTACATACTGTTCAAGATTTTGTATTTTATTTCAATGGATTTTTTAGCCATTAAAAATAAATTATGCTTAACCTACATTATTTTTACCCCATAGCAAATATAATTAATTAAATTAAAGTATCTTTATTAAGATTCTTATTTGACTTATAATTATAATTCTTAATTAAAATATGAAAAAACTTCCACAAAAGGACAATATATTATTAGCAAATCAATATTATAGTATTATTGAGTTTAATGTTAATATTATAAGTAAAATTAAAAATGAATATTCTAAAAATGAAATTTAATATCATAAATTTCAATTATGCTTAACCTATCATTATTTTTTTACCCCATAGCAAATATAGATGTTAATTTAAATTAAAGTATCTTTATATAAAGATTCCTTATTTGATTATAAATTATAATTGCTTAATTTAAAATATGAAAATTCCACAAAATGGACAATATAATTATTAGCAAATCAAATATTATACTGTATTATTGAGTTTAATGTTAAGGTAATTTATAAGTAAAAATTAAAAATGAATATTCTAAAGAATGAAATTTAATTATCATAAATTTCATAATATCATGAAAAATAGAAATAAAAACACGAGTTGGTGGCCATGCATTTCAAAAGGACAATATATTATTAGCAAATCAATATTATAGTATTATTGAGTTTAATGTTAATATTATAAGTAAAATTAAAAATGAATATTCTAAAAATGAAATTTAATATCATAAATTTCATAATATCATGAAAAATAAAAATAAAAACACGATTTGCATGCATCACAATGATAGAAGCTGATGTATATCTCCCAAACAACTTCATCCTCAAAAATAACTATCCAATGTGACAAATACGCGTATCAAACAAAACGGGAATAATACTAATGACATATTTACTAAAGTGAAAATTACAGTACAATTTACGTGGTTTGCAAAATTCAACTAATCTATCTCTGTCTTTTTTAAAATATATTAATTTATTCTTATATTTTACTTCTGTTATACCACTAGGTCCTTCTGTCCATTTTTTACATGCTTTTCCGTTAAATCGATAAGAAAACACAGAAATCAAAAGAGAGATATTAAAGTATTATTCCAAGAAATTACAGTACGGTTTCCATGGTTTGAAAAATATAACTAATCCGTCTTTGTATTTTTAAAAATAAAATGAGTATTTTTATCATTCATAAAGTACTTAACGGAAAAAATATAAAAATTAGACAAAAGAACCTTATAATTTGATGAAAATAAAATATAAAAATATTTTAATTTATTTAAAAAAAAAAAAAAAAAAGACAAAAACAGATTAGTAGTATTCTATAAAACATATGAATCGTACTGGAAAAAAGAAAAGAAAAAGAAAGGAAAAGAATGCTTCTCAATCTCACAGCCATATTGCCAGAGATATAAAGTTAAAGAGGAAAAAAGGTATTCAACTTTTTATAACAAAAGAATGGAAAACTGACCATTCCTTTGGACACAGAACGTGTAATAACACAAATATGAATATTCCATCTCATTTGATAAATTAAAATGTCTTAATCCAACTTAAGTTTGAAGACTCACAATTTTTTTTTAAATTGATAATTTATAAATTTACAAACAACAAAAACTCTAAATTTTCAAGCTCCAATAGAGTTCAAACTCGAGCTTAAGCTCAAATATACATTTATGAAATTTGACTTATTTACAATCTTAATTATAACATCTTATTGTGAATAGCCTAAAAATCATAAAACAAATAATTCTTGACCGCTAAGATAATTAAATTTAACAATGTTATCTAATAATAAAAGTAATACTTTTCAAATTAATATCACCAATCTCGAGTCCTCTCACTCACAGTATAATTCATAATACTATTTTGATCCACTTATTCTTCCGATGAATAAAAGATTTCTGGAATATAAATACTTATAATGAAATGAAACTTCTGGGAATGATATATATACATACAAACTAAATGAAGGCCTCTTGATACTGAGACCAGGGATTGAGATTCTAGGAGTGGAAAAAAAATTTTAATGATGGTCCGATATGCTTACATTCTTGCCTTTTCCAAGAAAAATAAATAAATAAATGAATATCGCAATTTTATGGAAATTTCTGTATCTTTATCAATATATGAACATGAACTTTCATATCCCTGAATGTGTTATATCTCTTAGAAGTATTCTAAAGTTTTTTAAAGAAATTAAAAAAAAAATGTATTAGTTTCCATCATAAAAGAAATAATAAAGACCAGAAATAACACCATGCATCAGGATCTTAATGATATTTAAAAATTAAATATATATTCATATTTAATATATTTCTATGACACTATCAACACATTAAATGTCATTGAAGTGTCTGTACACTTACTTATATGATCACAGATAAAAACAAAGCATGATCATAGCAACAAATAGAAACCAATTATGTACAAGAAAAAAAAAAAAAAAAAAAAAAAGTTGAAAGTGGTATGTAAAGCAACTTACTTAATTATGATACACGATAAGAAAGCAAGCATGATCATGGCAAAAATATGAAACCAAGATTAGTGGTATCAGATAAAATTAAAAAAAAATAAAAAATGAACAGTAAAGCTCTAAGTAATGCTATATTATTAAGTAACCCATCGAAGTTAAGAGTAGATGTGTTTGTGACCGCTCAGTCATCGAGTCAGCTATCTATTCATGGAAATATACGATGTATTAGGTTCAAGAACCATGTGATTCTAAAGGTGAACGTGGTGATAGTCAAAATCACATGATTTTAAATATTGAAATAATGTTAATTGAAAATGCCCATGATCTCCTCACAAGACTCTTCGCCATTTGCATTTTTTAAAATTGAGGTTGTTGGTGAGAGAATCTTTCTCAATAAATGTCTCAGCTTTAGTGAATTATATTGCTTGCGCGCACGGTAGATGGCGTCACCAACCTTCTTATGCTCCTTTCTCCTTCCCAGCCATCTCATCTTAAAAAAAAAAAAAAAAAAAAAGAACAGTAAACTCAGTAAGTATATATATAAGTAACCATGAATTAAAAGTAATGGTTGTACCCTCATCATCATCAGCTATCTAATCATATATAATTAATTCAAAACCATTGATTCTATGAACTGGTGATCATAAAATCACATGATTTTAAAATATTAATAATTAATTGAAAAACCCATGAATTCTCTTCCAAGACTCTTCCCTTTGCATTTTTAATTGTTTATAGAAATTCCCAATAAATGTCTCAGCTTTAGTGAATAATTCTTGCCCACTAAGCTCACCAACTTCTTCTCCTTCTCCTTCCACCACTACTACTGGTTTATTTTCTTGAACATCTTCCATTTCTGTTGTACTCTCTGCATTTCCTATGAAAAAAAGACTAGGCATAGAAGGGCATTTTTTTACTTTATCCGCTTTATTTATGCTAGCAGAGCTAACAATCTTCTCTGAAGCAGATTTTTCAACAACCCTAATTGGTTTCTTTTCAGTACATGCAGGCTGAGGGGAGGAAGCTAATTCTTGGGTTATTGGCTTTGTTGAAATGGAAACGACAGAATTTTTTTTACTATCGTCTAAAGGCTTGGAAAAGGCTGCAGAAAGAAGGCCGGCTTCAGCTCCAAGAGCGAGAATAAGAAGATTAATAATGAAGTAAAGATACTTAGGCCTTAATGAAGAAGATAAAAGAGGTGTAACAAAAAGAAGAGCAGCTAAGAGTGATAGCATCAGAATTTGAGATTTCTTGAAATTGCTCATAATGTTCATAATAATAACTATAGAGGTTAATTTGAAATTCGAAGAGGCTTGTTAGTATGATTTATGGAGTATAGAGGAGTTTGTGGCAGAAGAGGCCATGTGCAAACCTATGCAAGGACAAGTATATATATAGAGAGAAAGAAATACTGTAGAAGGACAGGTAATGGAAGTTGTCATGTAGGGATGATAGTTGCATCTGTTTATTTTCTGTCCAAAAACATAGAAAAAAAAGTACAGAATAAAATCTGTGAAATGGATTCTCTCCACTCTATCTTTAATAGGATTTAAGATTATGTTAATCAATTTAATGATAATATGATTAGCTGATGGTTAATAAATTAAAATGACAATCTTTTCAATTGTAAATTTCACTTTCATATGTATTGTAGTCATAGAACAATCAAATCCTAAATGAGGTCAGCCTACTGTAATGGTACGATTTTAGCTGTTCTGTATATTCAACAAATGAGCATATTCTGATTCCTATTGAATTCAAAAAGGGCCTAGTGTACTAATTTTCTTTCTTTTCTTTTGTGGAACCTAATGGTGAAGCAGTTGAAATCAAGTTTACAGTCATTAATTATTAACGATGAAAGCAAATGATACAATTTTATCATGCAAGAATGTAAAAGAAATTATAACCAAAATACAGATAATTATCCAATGATTAATATAAAATTAATTCACAAACCATTAAAGAAATTTCTTGAAGTTATAAACTTTTCATGCATGGAATGGAAAGATGATGAGACAGAATCCAACGTCAATTTTCAGATTTGGATTCTAAAAAGAAAAAAAAGAGATATGTAATATAATTCCTAGGAAAAGTATAAATTGGTAGGAAGCTAGAAGGCTATAGGGACAAGAGAACATGCAATAGGGAGAACATTATAATCTAATTGGACAATGGTTGATAAGGTCGGCGTGAAAGCATATATTCATATTTTCTAATCTTTCTTTTCACTTTTTTATTTTATTTGCTGTTTTGTTTGTTTAATGAATTGTTGAACAACACCAACACACGCACAGCTGGTTGGTTTGTGGTCTTCCATCCCCACATAAACTTAGATGTTTGATTCCTACTAGTAAGAGTGGGCAGTGGTTAAGAAAAATACTGCAGGTCCAAGGTTTGATTCCTAGTAATTGCACCTGTAGTGAGTGGTCTTCTATTCCAACATCAACTTGAGGTGCTTGGTTTAGCCTGGTATGGACCCTGCTTTAGTATGTGTTTTCATTTTCATTTTTTACAACACTAAAAAAAGAATATTTGCTCCCCCTTACCCCCCAAATAAGCACTTGCACCTAGTGGACAAGTGGTCCATTTCAACTTCACACCCCCCTGCCTATTTAGAACCCAAATAAAATGCCAATGGTAATAAACTATAACTTAATTACCTAAGGTTAAAATAGGCAGTGCAAAGCTATGTAATATAGAATGTCTATAGCTATGGGCTATTTTTTTTTCAATGACCCATCAACATACAGCCCAAAATCTCTCTTTTCTATCTGTCCCTTTGTGTCAGGTGCACAAGTATTCAATTTCATATTGCTTTTCTGCTTGTCCTAAAGTGATTGATGACCAAAAGAAAAGTGGGTCAATAATAAAAGAGAAAATGCAAGTATTATGAGTGTCTCTCATAATACTTTTTTCAAGGTTTGCTCAGTGGCCAAGTATAAGATACAGAGAAAGAAACCCTTTCGCAAAATTTCAAGTTTATCCAAATTGTGTCACCTTTTTTCCCCGCCTGCAATGGATTAGATAATCATATCTTTATATCCATTGACAAACATACATTATACATATATATTATCTATGAGGTCAATTATAATGTATTATAAGTGACCCCACAAATCATGAGGGCCACATTGGATATCATATCATTGTCGTCGTCATCATCATCTAAGATCATGAGATTCCTATTATCTCTTTTCTTTTTTATTTCTAGGAAAATCTCACCAAGTAAACTACGTTTGTGCATCTTTCCTCATTTGAAGACTGAAAAATTATCCTCTTTCCTTCAAAGGTATTTGAAATTTGAAATGGCACTCAGTCAAAGAAAAAGGAATATTTCCATGCAATGCACTGCATGTTTTGCTTCATTGCGAGGAAAAAAAAATTAACTAGTGGTACAATAACAGTACCTTTATATACTGCATTTGATCTTTCCTTATCCTGTGATGGAAGTTTCTGGAAGATAATACACCAAAAAAACAATGATTGTGAAAGATTAAGAGAGCAAATTAAGATAATAACCAGATGCTTAAGTATCTGCATTGTAATACAGAATTCTCATGCGAAAAGTCGAGTTCAAACCAAGACATCACACACACTCTCTAAAATGTGAACCTAACGTTGTTCACAATCCAGACTTGATCAGATACTCCTGCAGATTGCCAAGAAAGCATCATTTATTATTTTAAGATATATTTGTTTCCTCTTTTACAGTTTTATGTCATTTTCATTTGAGCAAAATGAATTGAACAGCACACCTCATTCTCACCAGATATTAATAACACTACCCTATAAAGCTAGTATTCCACACGTTATTCTTGCCAAAGACCAGAAAGTGCATACCAGTCACACCACCACACACAAGTACATGCCAATTGGGCCATGGCTGTAAGTCACTAAATCACCTAACCAAGACAATCCTTGGTTCATCCTTCAGAGTCAGACCCCACCACCCCCTAATGCTTACCACTAGAAGAAAAGACTTAGAAGGGTGCTTGAACTTCGAGGTAAACCTTCAAATGGACAAACTTGACCGTCATAATGCCTCCTTACATGGTGCAAAAGAAATTTCATTTTGTGAACTATTACTGATACAGTTTCAATATAATAGTCAAGGTCGCATCACACCGTGCTGTTGTGCTATATAAATCATTTTCCTTGAGTAAATATCTTAAAAGAATATAATTAACCATAATGTAACAAATGCAATTCATCTTTACATAAAAGCTCTAGGATCAAATGTTGACAGCTTCACTGTCAATCGATTATTTGTATAATCAATGTGACCCTCGGACAAAGAACAATCTTGACAGTTTCTAACTTAACTTATCAACCAAAGAAAATAAGTAAAGCCAAGAAGGGTTTAACAAGCAGTCAAGAACAATTCCTAATCATGAAAATTTATATGAAGATCTCAGATATCACTTTGAAATATCTATTTCAAATGATAGCAAATGCAAGGAAGCAGCAAGATCGTTATATATACAATATAGTGGAAAGTGGAAACACAGCCCCCACCACCAGGAAAAAGAAAGAAAGAAAAATGGGTATGCGTGTATCATGCATATATATTACCCAACACTTTCATGGTATTGCTTGGCCCAAACACTCCGGAAAATAGAAATGGAAGATTGGCCCAAATGATTCACAAAAAGAGAAATGGTATATTCTAACATACATTTTGAGACTTACAGAATATCTTTAACTAAGAAAACTGCGCCACTTTGTCCATATTATGGCATAGAGGAGGAAGATGCATACTGAGATCATCCAAGCTGGGAAAATCTTGGATGCTTAATCCATGCTCATTGGCTAAATGCAAAAGGCAGATGAAGCACAAATGCGGTGAGATATCTTCAACAGCTGAAGCTCGACAACCAACAGGAAATGTGGCCAAGACATGTTTGAAAGATACTAAGTGTTGCAAACCTTGTATAAAGTAATAAAAATACACAAGTTTTCAGTGAAATGATTCATGGAGTTCAAAACTTCATAGAAAAAAAAGGCTCAACATTAAAAAGGTAAAAGGAAAGACAGATTTAACTAGACGCTCATGTATTAGATCAAGGACTCGAGCAACTCAATTCCACTAATCATGGACTTGGTGTTCTAATGGACTTATTCAGGGAAAAGTAAAAAAGAAAATACATGCCCGCTTATCATGAAATATTGTGAAACAGAAATCGTGAAATGATATCCATGTTACAAAATGAGTTCTAAAGGAGTATAATATGCTCACTTTTCAGGAACTTCAGTAGATTCTTGAATATGATCCCAGAGCGTTTCTTTCAGTGCCTGTACGTCAACTTGTTTAGAAGTTTCATCATATTGTACTTCAATTTTTCTCACCTGAATGTTAAGAAAAGAATGATTGGTGTGTAAATAAATTTTCTCTGAATAATCTTTAATAAACTTATAAGCCTAATTATAAATCTGATGAAGCAAAATAAATGCAGTAACGGAAAAATCATGTGAATGGTCTACCACAAGTAACGAACAAAGTTACAATTACGGAGAACAACAATCCTTGCATTTAGCTATTCACCGATCACAACAAATAGATCTTTTAAAAAATTAAAACAGGAAAGAACAAGAAATAATACACATGTTAATCTGTGATCCAGATCAAGAAACCCCCTTTGATTGTTGTTCCTTTGAACTATTAGAATAGCAATTTCTTGTGTCATACAAGAAGGAAAGAGAGCATTCTTACACTCACTCCTCACCAGATCACTTATGGAGCACACTGATGTAACTAGAAGGTTGACATAATTGATTTGCGTTTAAAATTCTAGAAGATGTATTCATCGGCACCTGGTGAGAAGATAACTAACCTGGCCTGGCTGAGAAACAAGGTCATCAGCACCTTCCACACCCTGAAAATATTCATCATCATATTGGCCACTAAGACCACTCTCATTGCCCCATGACAACGATGCTTCAGCAAAATCATTTTTTTGTTGCCATGATTTATTATCTAGAAGCATGAAGATAGTTAGTAAAACAAAGAACACTAATTAAAAGGAATTAGATGACCAGATTGAGCGGAGGCAGGATTCATACAGTTACACAAAAACTTTGGAAACAAGACTTGGTTGGCTCAGATGGGTACTGTACCAGGTGACATAATTTTAGAAAAAATTCCATCATTTCAAATGCAGCATTAATTCTTGGTAGAGATATGTAGGAAATAAGGAATAGTCCAAAGCATTGCTTGTCTTCCACTTCCAGAATGGTGCAAAGTTATTGCCAAAAAAATACAAAACAACTTATGTGCTGCTTAAAAAAGAGAAAAATGAAATAAATAAGATATTTGAAGAGGGATGTCATATTCGCTTGCAGATCTATATGTAGTAGAATTTATCACATGGACATTTCCATGTCCTGGTAAATCCATGTAAAAACTATAAAATGCACTATCACACAAACTATCAAACTCTGTATAAAAGCAAGCTCATAGCAACATCAAACGAATCCTAGAAAAAAGAACATATGTTCACAGAAAAATTCATACCTGATAGTTCCCTTCTTTTCTTTCCAAGGCACTGCAGAAAAAGAAGTAATTTTAAAGAACCAACAATAAACTAAGTTGTAAAGAACCAACAATATTCCACTGTTAAAGAGCATTCAAGGATTCATGGGACTAAATAAGCATCATTTTCAGAAAGTAGGATCTGATCAAATTACAATAAGAGAAGAGACTCTGCAACAAATTGACTATAAAATCAATGATGTTATCTGCATAAGAACTTATAGGACCACTCGGTTGAGATTAATGCAGTTATTAAAAAGTGAATTTCTGTTTAGCAAATTTGCATTGTGTTCTATGTAGTTTAGATCATCTGTTCTACATGTCACCATATGTGACTCATTTCTAGAATGGTAGTGACAGATGAATATACACAACCAAATACTTGCAGTCATTAAGATTCCAGTTTTCACCAAATCATTACCATGTTCACACACACATGTACATGCTGGATTCACGAAAAGCTGAAACCAGGAATTATTGCTTCACACAGCCTTCAGACCAAATTATCATCTTTAAACCATTTTTAGCAAGACATAATAGATTTAAAACTTCATATAATGAAGAATCTCATTTTACCGGAATATCAGAAAGAAGAAACAATTTCACAAGATTCTCAGGTTGATAATGGCAATCTTCTGGAAATGTGTTGCTACGTGGTGCTCGGTTTGCAGGTAGTAGTAAGGATTTTAGACTTTTGGAATGAGCAAAGCTATCAACCCTTTGACTATCCAATGATATCATGAAATCAATATCCATATCTGCTTGACTTTTGCTCTTCGTTCTCTTAGTTGCAAATGCTGATCGCTTTCTGCTGCACAGACATACTCTGGACCTACGAAAAATACCATATTAAGTGGCATAAAAAATGGATATGCATGAAAAAACTGCAAACAGGAATAGCATTTCCTTCTACCTTGCTTATGAAATTTCCAGTCATCAGGACCTGCCCACCTATTTTGCTTTGAGTTAATTCCCAACCCTTGAAACAAAAACATGGTAACATTCTCAAAGCTTTGATCTATATCAGGTTCGGATGATGTACAGATTTCATTCTCCTACAAATTTACAGAATCATGTCTAAGCGCCCTTTATTGCCTCCTTCCCTCTTCAATAAAATTAGAAAAAAAATCATGTATTACAATCAATGAAAAACTAGGAATTAAACCATGAAGCCCATAGAAAAAACAGACACCTCCTTATGCCTTGGAAGTGTAGAATCACAAGTAAAGCTCCCATTGAAAATGCTCGCCTCATCATCGTGGCTAAAGGTCCCTGCTTCATAGTTCCCAAATGAACTATTCTCCAACTCAACTTCATTAGTGTTGCATATCTCAACTGTCACATCAAACTTCTGTTCTACACTAAATGCTTCCGATGATCTTTGATCGTCTTCATCAAAATGACAGATTATGTCCCTAAGAGTTGGACAAATTTCATCCTTTGCCAGTATGTTCATCACCAACTGTGCAAGAGATTCTGTAAAGAATACAAGGATTTAACTGAAAGAAAGGATCAGCATTCAATTAATTTCTTTAACAAGTGCCCCTTATTGGAAATTTCAGACCTTTGGCAAATGCGATATCGATCATATCTAAAATATCATTTTGCTGTGAACATGGTTTGTATTTCCCTGGCACTTCAAATGAATCAAAAAGCAGCTGGCATCCTCCACATACTCCAAGATTATTCAATAGGAAACTCTTCGCTCCTCCTTCACCAAATTGTGCAGATGTCTGATGATAAAGAGGATCCACAGCAATTGCAACTGGAAAACCAAGAAGCAAACTAGAAGCAAGACATGGGAAAAGAAATAAAAGATAGAAAGGATGAAAAAGGATATGTACTCACCATCAAATTTCTTCACGTTTAGAGCTTCAAATGAAGATTCCAATGTTGATAAAGGTGATATCTGCATAAACCGGTTGCACAAGTTTTCAGTATATGGTGTGCATGTCTACATGTAATTTGATATTTTTACCTTCTTCTCAGACTCTTTCTTAGAATGTCTCCCATCTTGTTGCCTGCTGACATTGTCAGCCTCTGTGATAACCTCTGTCACCAAAGCACTACGTTAGGAAAGTGAAGAAATTGAAACCTTCAGTTCATAAAAACTGTCATATTTTAGGAAAATAATCCCAATTATATGATACTAGTATTAAGGAGGACATTGGTAGAAAAGGGAGCACTCACTTAATTTATAAGGACCTACTAAAGCAGAATGTTTACGAAAACACAAGCTAATTTGAAGCATGATTAGAGTCAGAATATAATGACTGTAAACGATAAAAAGCAGAAACTTTTTTACTGAAACTATTTTACTTGTGTCAACCAGTATGTATGGTTAGCTGCTGGCATTACAAATCAACCTTCTGCATATTGTGAACTAAGGCAACTAACAAAGGCAACTAATTTTACCCACTCCAGCTTGGACTTAATAATTTAAAGCATCCAAAACAAATAGATGCAATGTGCAATGCTAATGCTATGTCTTGTTGTGTCTGACAAATATTTTCACAAGAGAAAGAAAGTCAACAACAGCATTCGTTTCATGCAATGTAAGAGAGATAAAAGTCAAAAAAAACATAAATAAAAGAGATAAATAGGAAAAGTATAAACTGATAATAATTCTAAAATACAACGCTGAAAAAGGGATAGAGGATATCTGACTCCACAAAGGCCTTCACTATGGCTAAAATTCATTTCCACATGTTTAACGTCAATAGATTGGCACAATTAATTATTACAGAAAAACAAAATACCTAGTTTCCAATTTTAACAATCAAGTTCGTACATGATTTTCTATTTTTGAGAAAACTAGCGGCCGCGGGGGGTACAATGATTTTCTATTTTTGAGAAATAGCGGTCCCGCCGGGGGCGGGTGGGGGGGCGGGGGGGGGGTGTTGTCGTGTTGTTCCAACCATAAACAGAATGGAAAAATCTAATCCAATTTATAAAGAGACTTGACGAAATATCCCCACTCACTCACATGCATTGCTCAATATGAAACCTGCCAGAGTGTTCGAAAAAAAAAAAAAAAAAGACCTTAGTACAAAACATAGCCACAAAACTCTGCCACAAACGATCCTATTTACATGAGGTTAGACAAACAAATTAAAAGAATTGAGCAAAGGCAGATTATTACATTCCAACATTTTCCAGTATTATTAAGGACATTACCTGTTGCACAAGTAAATACTTTTTTTAAACATTAAAAGGTAAATTATCATTCCCAACATATCAAGGCGTAAAATACATTCTACATTTCATTAACACGATGGTTTTTATACAAATTCTTTCAAAGTCCCAACCCTTCTCAAATATAACATAATCAGAACAAGTCACACACACAAAGTAGAATTAAACACTTCGAGAGCAAAAAAAAAAAAAAAAAAAAAAAAAAAAAAAAAACAAAAAGTATTTTCAAACTATTACCTTTCTCATCTTCCACCCACCCTCGATTAATTCCCACCCGAACCTCTATATGCAAAAAAAAAAAAAAAAAAAAAAAAGTATCAAACCTATTACCTTGTTCATCTTCCAGCCCACCTCGATTAATCCCACCAAGAACCTTATATGCCTCAGAATGAACTGCTTCCAGCCCAGCTCGATTAATCCCACCAAAACTTGCCTGCCCTCTCAATAGTCAATAGTAATCACTAATCAGCATTATAAGAAAAGATAAAGGAACTATTTTTCCAAGCGGTCAGTTGAATGTTTTCCACAAACCTTTTGGAAATTAGTCTCAGTATCACCTTGTTGTGTTTCGACTTTAATTATCTCGCTAAGATGGTCTATAAGCTTTAGCTCCCGAGTGTTCTTCTCATTAATTTTCTACATTACATGGATCACAGAAGGAAAAAAAAAATTGCATTTAGATTGTGTGCTTTAAAAACTAATAAAAGTCCTACTATTTTAAAGACTATATACTGACATTTTCGGTAGCAAGCTTGATGCAGTTTTGAAATAACTCTATGATCTGTTCTTTGCCAAGAGAAGGACCAGGAGAAAGAGGAGTGGCATTGATGGCGCCGGCCCGTGACTGAGCACGCTCGAGCCGGTCATTATTTGGGCCCAGGAAGAAGGAAGTCAGCGATTGAAGAGGATAGGCCATCGCCATTGGTGGCCTCGTCCTGCCTCACCCATCAAAATGGAGGGGGTTTTCAAAATATGAGAGGGAACAGTTGCATTTTTGAATTTGGGTATTTAACTATTTATATGAAAATCCGAACAAGGAAAAGGAAGGATGAGTCTTAGACTTGGGGTTCAACACGAATCGGTAAAAACGATCAGACCGAATCGATTTTATTTGATTTTAACATATTCAGTTTGGTTTCATTTTTAAATTTTAATATGAATATTTTTTTTTTTATCGATTCAATTTTTGTTAAATCCAAAAAATAAGTCTAAATCCATTCAAAAATAGTTAAACCAAATAAATTGATTGAAACAAACCGGATCAATCTGATTCTGCATACTAATCTTAAAAATGGAAATATCTAACTACCAACTTATTAAAGAGATGAGAAAATATCCCACTACTACATGATTGTCAATATGAAATGCAGAGTGTTGAAAAAAAAAAAAAAAGATTAGGTAAAAACATAGCCAAAACTCTGCCACAAAAGATCCTATTTTTCATGAGGTTAGACAACAAATTAAAGAATTGAGCAAAGCAGATTATTAATTCAACATTTTCAGATATTAAAGAATTATTTGCAAGTAAATATTTTTTTAAAACTAAAAGGTAAATATATTCCCACATATCAAGCGTAAATACATCTACATTCCATTAAGACGATGGTTTTTATACAAATTTTAAAAGTCCCAACCCTTCTCAAATATACATAATAAGAACAATCACACACAAAAAGTAGAATTAAACCTTGAGAGAAAAAAAAAAAAAAAAAAAAAAAAAAAAAAAAAAAAAAAAAAGATATACAAAATATTCCATTGTTTCATCTTCCAGCCACCTATCGATTATCCACCAAGAAATTATAGTGGCTCAGAATGGAACTGCTTTCAGCCCAGCGTCGATTTTAATCCAACCAAGATTGCTGCCCCCTCTGCAATAAGTCAAAGTAGTAATCACTAATCAGCAATTATGAAGAGAAAAAGAATAAAAGAAGCTTTTTGCCAAGCGGTAGTTGAATGTTTTTCCACAAAATTTTGAAATTAGTCCTCAGTATAAACTGTTTGTGTTTCGACTTTAATTATCTCGTAAGATGGTCTATAAGCTTATAGCTCAGTTGTTCTTCTCAGTATTTTTACTACATTTACATGAATCACAGAGGACAAAAAAATTGCATTTAGATTGTGGTGCTTTAAAAACTAATAAAAGTCTACTATATTAAAAAGACTATAATACTAGAATCATTTTCGGTAGAGGCAGCTTGATGCGTTTTGAAATAACTCATGATGTGTTATCTTATGCCTGAAGAGAAGGAAACAGGGAGAAAGAGGACAGTTGGCAGTTGATGGCGCCGGCCGTGACTGAGCAACAAGGCTCGAGCGGTCATTATTTGGGACCAGGAAGAAGGAAGTCAGCGGGATTGAAGAGGATAGCACATCGCATTGGTGGCCTCGTTCCTGGGGGGCCCCAACCCCACTTATCCACCCCCCCAACCCCATACAATGGAGGGGGTTTTTTCACATATGGAGAGAGGAAAAGTTTTGCATTTTTGAAATTTTGGGTATTTATAACATTTTATAATGAATCGAACAAGAGGAAAAGGAAAGGATGAGTCTTAGACTTGGGGTTCAACACGAATCAGGTAAAAACGATCAAGCGAATCGATTTTATTTGATTTTAACAATATTCAGTTTGGTTTCCATTTTTAAATTTATAATATGAATATTTTTTTTTTTAATGATTCAATTTTTGGTTAAATCCAAAAATAAAGTACTAAAATCATTCAACAAAATAGTTAAACCAACTAAAATTGAATTGAAAAACGGATCAATCTGAATTCTGCATATAATTTTAAATGGAAGATAATTAATACAAAAAAACTTATTAAAGAGATGAGGAACATTCACTACGACTACATGATTGATCAAGTATGAATGCAGGAGTGTTGAAAAAAAAAAAAGATTAGGTAAAAACTGCAAACTGGCCACAAAGATCCTAGTTTTTTTCATGGAGATTAAGACAAAAATTTAAAGATTGAGCAAAGCCAAGATTATTAATTCAACATATTTCAGAATTATTAAGATTATTATTTGTCAAGTAAATATTTTTTAAAACTAAAAGGTAAATATATTCCCAATTATCAAGCGGGTATACATCTACATTCTTTAAAGACGATGGTTTTATTATACAAATTTAAAAGTCCCAACTTCTCAAATATTACATTAATAAGAACATACACAGTACCAAAATAGAATAAACCTGAAAGAGAAAAAAAAAAAAAAAAAAAAAAAAAAACCAAACGTATCACCTAATTACCATTGTTCATCAAAAAAAAAAAAAAAAAAAAAAAAGTATCAAACCTATTACCTTGTTCATCTTCCAGCCCACCTCGATTAATCCCACCAAGAACCTTATATGCCTCAGAATGAACTGCTTCCAGCCCAGCTCGATTAATCCCACCAAAACTTGCCTGCCCTCTCAATAGTCAATAGTAATCACTAATCAGCATTATAAGAAAAGATAAAGGAACTATTTTTCCAAGCGGTCAGTTGAATGTTTTCCACAAACCTTTTGGAAATTAGTCTCAGTATCACCTTGTTGTGTTTCGACTTTAATTATCTCGCTAAGATGGTCTATAAGCTTTAGCTCCCGAGTGTTCTTCTCATTAATTTTCTACATTACATGGATCACAGAAGGAAAAAAAAAATTGCATTTAGATTGTGTGCTTTAAAAACTAATAAAAGTCCTACTATTTTAAAGACTATATACTGACATTTTCGGTAGCAAGCTTGATGCAGTTTTGAAATAACTCTATGATCTGTTCTTTGCCAAGAGAAGGACCAGGAGAAAGAGGAGTGGCATTGATGGCGCCGGCCCGTGACTGAGCACGCTCGAGCCGGTCATTATTTGGGCCCAGGAAGAAGGAAGTCAGCGATTGAAGAGGATAGGCCATCGCCATTGGTGGCCTCGTCCTGCCTCACCCATCAAAATGGAGGGGGTTTTCAAAATATGAGAGGGAACAGTTGCATTTTTGAATTTGGGTATTTAACTATTTATATGAAAATCCGAACAAGGAAAAGGAAGGATGAGTCTTAGACTTGGGGTTCAACACGAATCGGTAAAAACGATCAGACCGAATCGATTTTATTTGATTTTAACATATTCAGTTTGGTTTCATTTTTAAATTTTAATATGAATATTTTTTTTTTTTATCGATTCAATTTTTGTTAAATCCAAAAAATAAGTCTAAATCCATTCAAAAATAGTTAAACCAAATAAATTGATTGAAACAAACCGGATCAATCTGATTCTGCATACTAATCTTAAAAATTTTTCAAAGAAACCAAACTGACGGAAGGCACCCCTATTCGAAGTGCATAAAATACAAGCAAATGTTTGCTTGTGAATTTGTTTGAGAATTTATCAAAATTTCCTCAAAAAATAAGATTTATTTAATTTTAACTCCTTCCAAGTATGAATATTGAAATTTTACGTATTATTCTTTGGAATTTTATTGTTTATTAGATAATGAACATGAGATTTATTTTATTTAAATATTATAAAAAATTCATTTACATATGATTGTTTGTAAATGAATTATAATATTTGATATGTTATGTATTAAATATTAAATTGTTAATTCATCTTAAATTTATAATTTTATAAAATTTTAATTTATTAATCTTAAATTAGTTCATAAAAACTTATCAATTTTGATAAAACTTGACTCAATCATTCAATTGCACATTCTAGCATACACCAAACATGAAAATATAAGTTCATAATCAAATAATGAAATTTACAGTTGCAAAATGAAGAAATAGAGCATTTGGGTTACAAATCCAGAGACAATTTTCTATTTAATAATACAATGTTATAAGAGAGGCTAACAAGATGGGGACAGAAAGGAAGGTGCTTATCTAACACTGTTACACAGGCCAACTTTAAAATTCTCTGACATGGAGGTTTGTAATATACATCGAGGTCATCTGGACAAACCTCATTGTATATGCTTTGAATTAGTGAAAGCCACACCCTAAAAAGGAAAAGAAAATAAATGAAACATAAAGAAAATACAATTCTGTAGAACTAAATTTGTACACTTGACTTATCCTACAACTCAGGACCCAGGCGATAACGATCAGTACAACCACAAAGCATAAAGTTAAGGGTGAACTACGCTTGCAAGAAATGTTTACAGCTTTTTCAATCTCTCAAGGCATCGTTGCCACTAGTGGCATCGTTGCCATTAGTGGCATCATGCCCTAGCTGGAACTTCTCATGAGGAAACCCACAGTGATACCCAATGCAGCGCCAGCAGCAACCTGCAACAGTTAGTATGGTAATGGCGTAATAGATACAAGCAGCACAGCAATTTTTGAGCATGTAGATGTGGAATTATCTTTTCTGGAACAAAATAGAATCACAACAATGTTATCTTTTGTTGTTCAATAAGTAGGCTCTGAGCTGGAAAAATTGTTGCGCTGGCTCAAAATTTGAAAAATAGAATGGGAACTGAACTTTCACACTTTTAACATTTTAAGTTTCACGGATGTCTTACTACTACTTATTTGATAGAAGTGTAAATATAACACACAAAGCTACACTGTTGGATCATAAACAACTGAGCCAGTTCAAAAAGTAAATCACCAAGTTGAGACTATTTTTAACAGAATAAACATGTCTTCATTCCCATTGAAGATCATTCTTCAGCCAAGAAAACATTATTGATTGATCTAGGAACTAGGATTTGGGTTCACTAAAAAAGTTGGCAACAAGTTAGGTGCTATTTGCTGCCTATAGACATAGCACAGGAGTTGGCATCTAGATAATAAAAGGTGTTCTGTCCTTTTAAGGGTGAATCATTAGTAGAATATGATTCAGTTAATGAAAGGGGAAAAGATTATTTAACTTTCAGTTGCGTGCATATTGGACCAATGCAAGGACAACTGCCACATACCTGGAGTGGAGTGTGACCTAGTGAATCTCGAAGAGGTCTAACATTGGAGACAGGGTGTTCTGGAGGTAGCTCACATACAATTTGATTTAATAACTGCAATGCGCAAAACATACACGTCAGTCAGCAAAGATTATATAATCCCAGCAAAGATTATATATTAGATATATAGATATAATAATATATAGATTAATATATATATATATATATATATATAAACATGTTAAAGCAGTCTACACCACCAGCTCATTGATTGCAAGGAAACCTTCATAGCAAACAACACCACAATGGATGTAATTTCCCTCAGCAAACTAAATGTCTTTTTACTTCAAGAAAGAGAAAAAAAATATGTAACAGAAAGAACATGAGCAAAAATTGGAGGGATAATTTGAAAAATCAATGGTAGACGTGAAACCATAATTTAAGCCTTCACATGCCAGACATGAGGGAAAATTCAGAACAGCTTTGCCATACAATGTCTTTTTCCCCCCTTTCTTGGGATATATCAAGTAACAGTCTGAATGTACAAGCATGTGCTTTGACAAACATTTAAAATATATATATATTTATCAAAAACTAAATCCATTTATTTAGTGTTGTTTCACCAGCATTTATCCTGATCATTAAATACTGATTTCTGCTCCACAGGGCAAAATATTTTCAATACAAATGTCAAAAACAGTAAGTACCACCAGTTAACAAACTATTTAGGTTGACAGATAATAAATTAAGCTAAAAACAACTATACTATTGACAAATTACTGCAGCATACCGCCATTCTACTTGATTTATTTCACTTATAGATGCTTATCAGTCCACCAGACATTTTGTTTGTTATGATAAATGTCAACAGCTTTAATTTCAATGGCAATTTTGCAGCTACCTTACCATCAAGGACTCAATTTTGCCTCCAGCTAACATGGTAACATTCATAAAGTTTTTTCCAACAATAAAATTTATCAGATTGAAAACATTAATGAAAAATCATAGAAATCCATTAAATTGCTATGTTTATCACACTGGATGGACACGAAATATGATATATGGGAAAGTATCACAATACTTTAAAAAAAAAAAAAAAAGAATTGAAGAAACCAAAATTTCAACAGTGAGCTTCCATAAATAGCAAAAGTCGTGGATAAGTCCTAGTAACCCACAAGTCTAAATTACATTATTTATCTTCAGAATGGCATGGAGAAGTAGTGAAATTATTCATCCTTTATTAGAAATTATCACTAGATTTTACTTCACAATGATTTTGATTAATTCAGCTGAACAGATAAGCATAAAACAAAGTACATTAACTGCAATTAATGATCTTACTTCAGCTTGACGACCAGCATGCAGCCTAACACCAGTAGCATCATACATAACCTGCAAAAAATCACATATTATCCAGGAAACTTGACTGCAAATGAGTTATGGACACCATTATGTAAATCAGACCATAAACCAAATGTGACTGTCTAGAAGCATAATTATGACAGAAAGGCAACTCATTTTTTCCTTTTATTTTCTTTTTACAAGAATAATTTGTTCCAATGGACAGAAGAACAGGAGACCAGAGGAATAAATCAGTTCTGGTTCTAAAAATTACCAGAATACACCAATAATCTCAAATTAGTATTGATGCATGCTTATGGTGCCATGTTTTTCATGAGCTTTCATTTGACTGAAGCTGTAGTTTAGCAAGAGGATTATTAAAAGGAATTATAATTCACAGGTACAAGCATTTGCAGATAAAGATAAGATTAAAAATGAAAAATGAAACTGAACATCAATATAATCAAGCATGTCGACAAAAAAGAATGAACAAGACCTGGTTAACAAATACGTACAACACATGCCAAGACCAGTGCAATAGCAAATGATGGTGCTGCAGTTCCTTCTTGCATACCAATAGATACTGCAAGAGCAGTCACAGTAGCTGTATGTGATGAGGGCATTCCACCTGATCCAAGCATCCTTCTAGAATCCCATCTCTTCTCCTTGAACCTGCACATCTCAGATCATACATTGGAAAAGAACAGACAGAAACAGGGGGAAAATGAAGCAATCAATAAACAAACTCTTCCATTCACTAAATTTCACGTTATTCTTGCCATACAAACAAGTGAACATATAGAAGAGATTATTTAATCGATAACTTCACCTATTGTTTTCAGAAATACAAACTCAGTTGTAAAACATTCAACTTACACACTATTTTGATCTGCTTGTACCGAGACACAAAAGACCAAGGAAAAAGATATAACATTCAGCAATGTACCCTCCTAAGTCCCAGCATTTCTTAAACCTTCCCGTAAGTGATAGAAAATTAAGCATCGACAATCAATCTTGCTTCTTTACTGAAGTTCTTTACATTATTCCACAAAGGCAGATTACAACTTACTCAACTGATTTTTAATCACATATAAAAATAGGTCATCTACATAGATTCTTTTTCTCACTTAAAGTCTCTTTACAGCCATATGCTTAAAGAGATGTTAGTAAAGTAAAGATCCTCCCACAACTTCAACCCTAGAATATCTTTTGTCCTTTTTTTCTCCATCTACCTGAACGCAGTCACTCTTCTGTGGAAGATTTTGATAATTCGATATGCAAAGAAATATTAACAAGCACAACAATGTAACTGCTTGCAGAAATATTAACGTAACTTGTATGTAATAGAAAGAAACAGCGTTCAAAATATAAATTCATATGCTTCCTTACCCATTAATAGTTTGTTCAATAAGAACCCTAAACCCAGAAAATAACTAAAAAAGATACAGACTTTCCTAACATTACCGGCATGGGAGCCAAAGCAAGCATAAATAAGTCAATCGCAGTAGAAATTCAAATCACATTATTGTACTGAAAACTTAATATAATAAACATACGTAAATATAGAGGATTTTAGAAGAGAGAAAGAGATACCAGGTAGTGAAGAGCTTGAGGAACTGAGCGAGAGCGAAGGCAAAAAAAGCAGAGAGAAGAGGAATGTTGACGGGAATAGAGGACCGCTGAGATGAAGCTAATCGAAAGTTCGATGATGAATCAGCGGCCGTCATTACTTCGTCCATTGAAAGCAAACGCACAGAGAGAGAAAATAAGCTTCTGTGCTTTGCCCTTGCAAAAAGGGTGAAAAAGAAGTTGTTATTCCGTATTCGAATTCTGTGGAAGTTGCTTCGCGGCAAAGGAATTGGATCTCTCTGTTGAGATTCGAATTCAGGTTCAGACTCGGATTCGGTTCTTCTCCTCGTCTCCAACGCCGATCACCTACTCAAAAAAATCAACGGACACAGTGATCGACTGTAATTAAGAGATTTCAAGCTCGTGTATTACGAGCTTTGCCTTTAGTAAAAATAAAAGCTTATCCATATTTAATTAATGCCAACCCTTTAATTTAGGTAAATTAATTAATGGTCTTGCCCTTTTGAATTATGATAACAAATTTGAGTTTAGGTACAGGAAAAAGTTTTGCTGTTGCTATCATTAGGAAAAAAAGAACTATGTGAATGTGAAATTACTTTTCCATTAAAAGCTCTAATAAAAATTTTGAGAAATTTAAAATAAATAATCTCTATCAATATAAAAAAAAAAATTGTTATTGTGAGTGATTCTATGATTGAGCAATGAAATGCATTATCCTTTATCTCTAAAAAAAATAAATAAAAAAGCTTTCGAAAACATATTTTTTAGCCAAGAAAAAATTACATATTGAAGGAAATTAAATTCTCATTTTAAAAAAGAAACACATTTTTTGAATGTTAAAGAATTATTATAAAAATATTATAAAATATATTTATTAATTCAAACAATGAAATGATAATCAATAAATCATCGTAAGTAAATAATAAATACAGTCACTCACCGTCCCAAAGCACCCCACCAATCATCAATAACTACTACTATTTTTTTTTTTTTATCTTTAACAATCAACTCTTAAAATATGAGATTTTTTACAATTAAAATATTTTTAAAGACATATTTTTTAAATTTTTATTATTGTATTTAAATAATATAAAATGAATTATTAAAAATATTTTTCATCGGAAATATTTGCTTAAGATAAGTTATTTTTAAAAAATAATAAAAAATCAGTTATTATATTAATGTTATTGATAAGTCTAAGATTTAAAAAGTTAAAAATACCTAATAAAGTTAACATTTTATAATTAAAAGTGAGATTTAATTTAATTATAATGTGAAATATTGTACACTAGGGACAATAATGACTTTTTGTCGGGGTTGGCACATGGTGTCGTTTTGTAAATGAGATAGTCTATTTCTTTCTTTGTCCTCTCTTACTTTTCTAAGTTTATTTTCCAGCAATTTCTCTCTTTCCCTCTACTTTCCTAGTTACCAAACAACACCAAAATCTCATTTTTCTTTTCAAGCAGAGGCGAGCATTAGTTAAACCAACTTGATTATAATTTTTTCCCTTTTACTATATTTAATAGGTTCTGATGTAATTTAAATTAAAAATTTGTAATTATATTAAAGCTACTTCAATTGCAACCCTAAATGTAAATTATAACATTGTACAAAACATTAATGATAAATAATAATAATAGCAATAATTAAATTTGAATAGCAAATTGAAGTATATATAATATAATTACGAATTTTTAATTTAAATATCACAACCTATTAAATATAGTAGAAGGGAAAAAATTATAATCATGACTACGGGTTAAAACAAATCAAAATTTTAGGAAATATATCAAACTAAATCCAAATCGACATTTGAATTGAATTGATCGAACCAATTGGTTCGGTCAATTTTGATCGATTTTTATCATATCGATCCAATCTTAAGCCTAATTTATGGATTTCTATAAAATAGACTCGAATTAAATAATAAATTTAATTTAAATCGAATAAATCAATAAATTGAATTTTCATTAAATAATTAACTAAATCAAACCGAAATGAATCAGTTAGATGAATAATTTTTCACACCTATAACGGGGAGTATCTCATTTCCTCCCGTGGATGTCCAATATATTTTTTTACGCCTTTGACCAAATGATAATAAAATAGTTAGATAAGCTCTCGTCACTCAATCAATAAATAATGATAGAATATTTAAGCATGAAAATCTTATAATTATTTCTTTATTTTTTAATTTTGAACAATTTGAAATTAGGGTGTAATTTAAAAAAAAAGTAAAAAAAAAATATGATTTCTAGAAATTAAACTCATTTTAGAGCATAATCGATACAAATCACAGAGTTTTTAATATATCAAATGATTTACTCAAAGAAACACTATACAGAGATTGGGAATCTGTCCAGAGATTCGGAATCCTGCTACAGTTTCAGAAAGTCTGTCCGCTTCTCTATGAAAAGAAAGAAATATAGAATTTGGTCGATTGATAATTGATAACATCACTGTCTGTCTCATTTAACAGTACAACAGATAGATGGAATCTATTATTTCTTCAATCAAATTATTAGTTAACAACCCACGTGTTCTTTCTCACCATGTGACCCTCCCTCACACAATCTCTGTTCTTAAATTTACGGACACTGCTGCCTTTTTTTCTTTTTTTAAAAATTTCATATAATATACATTAATTAGTTAATTAATTATAATTAATAATTAAATATAACAGATGAAATAATTATTTATCTATTTTTAACTTTGTATCGATAATTTTGGTAAAGATATAAAATTTCTTTCTTTGTTTTTTTATATTACAATTAAAATATTTATAAAAAATTTAATTAAAGAATAATAACAATAATAAATAATTGAAAAAAATAAAAGTTAGACAGTAAACCATTTGTTGTGGTAGACGCGGCAATGCAGTTGATAAATCACGAGAGGGTGTTGACGTATTTGAACACATCATGATGGATGGGGATCCTCCAAAACATGCCACGTCATTAGGTTCTAGATGGCTTCTGCCTCTCCGTTGGATTGATATTTCTTCGTTCCCTGAAAGTCAAGTGATAATAGCCTTCGATGAAATTTCCTACGGTGGAGTTTTCCGTGATTAATTTAAGGCCACACGTTAACACTTCATCCGCTTTTTGGTCTTCCAAGTAGACCCGGTTTGAAATCGTGGTTTTAACAGTTGAGAATTAGAACCAGAATTGAAGGAACCAAAACTAGAACCAGTAGCTAACGATTCAATTTTAGTTTCACCATTTTTAAAACTGTGAACTGGTGGTTCGAAAAACCGGCCGGAACGGTTTGAACCGGTGATTCCAATTGGATTTCGAATCTATGTTAAACGGCTAGAATCGACGGTTTCACCGGTTCGAACCTATGGTTCAAAGTAGCGGTTCAAATCGGTGGTTCCAACAGCTTTTTTTTAATATTTTTGTGAAATCCCCAAATTACTTCTTCTAACAACTATAAACGGCTAGTTTTAAGGGTATTTGTGGAAAATATTTTTTTTAGATTTATTATAAATACCTTATTCCATTTACAATCTCCTCACACAAAATTATCTTTACTCTCTACTTTATATTATTCTCTACTCTACAATCTCTCTAAACTCTCTACTTTTAGTATTCTCTACTCTTTTCATTCATAAATTATTGTCCAAAATATTCCTCCAAACTCCAAGATGATACATAGGAAGTTCAAGCCCCTTTTTTTATAAAAAAAATAAGTTCCAACTTTTTTAAACAAAAAATAAATTAAGTTGAAGACTCTTTTTTTTTTTTTTTAAAATTAAGTTCAAGTCTTTTTTTTTTAATTAAGTTCAAGCATTTTTAAATTTTTTAAGGGTATTTTTTTTAGAAATTATTTCACAAATTTTAAAATTTTAAATTTTGAAGAAAAAATATTTTCTACATTTTTATTTTATAATCATGCGATTGGCCGAAATTTAAAAATGCTTGAACATAATTAAAAAATTTTTTAGAACCGTTAAGGAATCGAAATCAGAACTGTAACTGTTCGGTTCCAAACAGTTTCTGGAACCGTCAATTTCTGATTCGATTCCAAAACCATGACCCCTACTTCTAGGCATGAGCCCCATTCCGAATCCCAATTTCGATTTTTGAATCACTGGTTTTGATTGGGTTAAAGTTCAACACCGAAATTAAATATTTTTATTCATTTTTTTATTTTATAATTTGAATAAAAAATAATAAGAAGTAGTAATATTGAAAAAAATAAATAAAATAAATAAAAAATGTAACAAAATAAACATAAATTTAAAATTTTATTACTCGTCTTTTAACCTCACAAATTTTTTTTAATTTAGATCTAAAACCGAGAGTTTTGATTAAATAAAATAAAATCATAAAAATATAGTATTAAATATTAATTATTATATGGAATAAAAAACTATTGATCACTGTTTAATTTTGATTTTAATCGATTCAATTTCGATATAATTTTAATTCGATTTCGGAATGAACAGTGGTCATGTCCACTTTTTGGTATATATATATTGGTTACTTTATGATATATATTATTCTTAAATTTTTAAAGATATTATGAAAATCTTTATGGCAATTTTGTTTAAAAAGTGTCATATTTCTATTTTAAATACCGTTAATAAAATAAAAAATAGTCAAATCTCATTTCCTTGTTTTTTTTTTTTTTTCGTGTATTTCTTCTTGGCTAAATTAGAAATTCGACGGGTGCACATAGGGCCCAAGGAGGCCCTAGCCCCAATATATATATATATATAATCAATTTTTAGTATTAAAAAATTAAAAAGAAATATATTTTAGTTTGGTGTCCTCATTAATCAAAATTACAATTTAGTTTAATTCTTTAGGCCGGATCTATCATTGGACTCATTCATTTTAATTTCACTCGACTATCAATAATAAAATATTATCACTGTAAATTGTTAAATAAAACTTAAAATCTTCTAATTCTCATATTTTTCAAAACGGAATTTGATTGGCATTATTTACATTATGATTAATAAGAGTCTAAATACTTAATTAAAAATTATATAATCAACAAAAGATTAAGGTTTAAATAATTTTATAAAATAACTTTATAAGGATACATTTATTAATTCGGTGTCATTATCATTGACAGTTGGAATGCATAATATTTTTCCAATAACACCTCATTTCCAAACAAAAATGGTAAATAGTTATAACTCATATTCTTGTCAAAAATAAAAATCATCACAAAAAACAGAGACGTTATCAAGTCAAGGAATCAACAGGTCAACAAAGGTAACTAATCCTAAAATAAAAGGTTTGATTAAATTAAAGATTTTGCATCAAAATCATATTGCAATAAAAGACAAATTCCCCCCTACTAAAATAATAAAAAATGTTATCTACCTATTTATTCAAATATTGCATGTTTCTCCTTTGGACGAAGACTTCAAGTTTTACAAAACTACTCTTCCAATATTAGAAAATCATTATACTAATAGTCTCACACGTGCAACACGCCCTCTAACCCGGCGCGTGCCAAAACTACTACTACTACTTTTTAGAAAACACAAAATTTGCAGTGCTTAGGCAATTTCTCAAGTGTGGTCCTCCTAGCATATTGTCCACCCGTACTCCTTGCCTGCGTGGTCCCTCTCCGGCCAAGCTCTGTGGGCGGTTCCCAGTGAACCAGAACTCGCAACCAACGTACTCTCTTTTATAAATCATTATCAAGTTTCACAATTTCATCAGTACCACTCAACATGTAATATGCACACCTCTCTATGATAACAACCACAACCACCACTTCTCTCTTATCTATATAAAACCTCCTCTCCTCCTCTCCACTTATTTCCCATACCCAGATCTCTTACTTTTCTTTTGCCTCCTTCAATCGAATATCCTCTTCGAATACTGCAGAATTTTTCGAATTTTCAATTAAAGCTTCGATTTTTATCTTCCGTTGTTACTCTGGTGTGAAGGAAGAAGTTTGTTTTTGTATAAAGTTGTGTTCTTGTGGGGTAAAACCCAGGGGACGACAGGTTGTAGACATCACGGCTATACACGGAGTAATTCGGCCTGTAATTCATGTCCAGGCTGTACGACGTGAGGGTTGTGTGATTGAGAGCAACCCTTCGCCGCACGGTGGACGTGGTGCTTTGCCTTCTGAAGGCGGTAGTCCTTCTGATCTTCTTTTCCTTGCTGGTGGCGGTTCCGTTCTTTTCGTTGCCTGTTAGATTTAGGATTATATAGTTTATATAGATTTTTCTGTTAAAGTTGCCAGGCAAATAAGGGTATTTTTAGAAGAATTAGATCTCTCGATTAAGAAGCAAGTTTGGTCTATATTGTTTTTGGGATCTTAAATAAAGATGAGTGACAGTTTGATGTTAAGGATCAAGAGGGTACCTACTGTTGTTTCAAATTTCCAGAAAGAGGAGGCGGAAGATGGTGCTCGCCGTAGCGGAGGTTGCGGCCGGAATTGCCTCCGGCACTGTTGCATTCAAGGTACTTGTTGAAATACTCCTGTTGCTTTTATGCATGATTCTGATGTATACTCCTTGCATTTTTTTATTTATTGAGGCTTGTTTATTCCATAAATAGGGGCGAAGCTGCCTCTGTATGCTTTCAGGAGAGAGAACAAGATTGTTGGTGAGAAGGGTGTACTCGAACATGAATGCGAGCCTCCCGTTGCTTTCCTTGACTCGCTTGTTCTTGGGGAGGTATAATTATTTCAAAAACAAATGGAAATTCATATTTTCTTTTTCTGTATTTGTGGATGTCATGAATATGGAGATTAAAATGTTGCATTACTTGGATTTTTTAGTGGGAGGATCGTTTTCAGAGGGGGCTATTTCGCTACGATGTCACTGCCTGTGAAACCAAGGTTTGTTTTTCTATTAATGATATTTGTTTGCGTGTTTGGCTTGCCATTTGAGCTCAAGGAATGTACATGCAACTAGAATTTGCTTTGTTGAAATTTGGAAATATGAAATTTATACTAAATCCTATAATTATATTGGTTTAGGTGATTCCGGGCCAGTATGGTTTCATTGCCCAGCTGAATGAGGGCCGTCACTTGAAGAAGAGGCCAACTGAATTCCGTGTTGACAAGGTCCTCCAGCCGTTTGATGGGAACAAATTCAACTTCACTAAAGTTGGTCAGGAAGAGGTGCTCTTCCAGTTTGAAGCGAGTGAAGATGGTGAAGTTCAGTTCTATCCAAGTGTCCCTATTGATGTTGAGAATTCTCCAAGCGTGGTTGCCATTAATGTAGGTTTACTGTTCTTGAACTAATTATTGTTCATCTTTGTTTGCCAGATGTCTTGATTAGGGTATTAATTGGTCTATGGCATTTTGCTTTGTCAACATTACAGGTTAGTCCTATTGAGTATGGGCATGTTCTGTTGATCCCACGTATCCTAGAGTGCTTGCCACAGAGGATAGACCGAGAAAGCTTATTGCTTGCTATTTACATGGCTGCTGAAGCTGGCAATCCATACTTTCGATTGGGTTACAACAGCTTGGGGGCATTTGCTACCATCAACCACCTTCACTTCCAGGTTTCTATCCATCTAAACATTTATTTCACTTCAATGAACTTGAATTTAGATTTTACAAATCATATCCTTTGAACTAGTTAGTGACACATGCATGAGTAATAATAACAAAAAGGAATAAGAAGTCATTATCATGAAAAAAGAATATAGGGGAAAAGCTGATCGTTTCCTTGGAACAGGCTTACTACTTGGCTGAGCAATTTCCCATTGAGAAGGCAGCCACTAAGAAGATAAACACTTTGGATAATGGAGTGAAAATCTCTGAGCTTATAAATTACCCTGTTAGAGGCCTTCTATTTGAGGGTGGAAACACTCTGCAAGATTTATCCAACACTCTTTCTGATGCTTGCATTTGCCTTCAAGACAACAACATACCTTATAATGTGCTTATCTCTGATTGTGGAAAGCGGAACTTTCTCTTGCCACAGGTAATGAACTTAGGAAAACATAATAGCAGTGACTTGCTTATTTGCTTCTTGATATATTAATAAATGCATTATTTACTCATGTTCTAAATTTTCAAATGGATTAACAGTGTTATGCTGAGAAACAAGCACTTGGGGAAGTGAATCCTGAAATTCTTGATACCCAAGTAAACCCAGCTGTTTGGGAGATTAGTGGCCATATGGTGTTGAAGAGGAAGAAAGACTTTGAAGAGGCGACTGAGGAGAACGCTTGGAGGCTGCTTGCAGAGGTTTCTCTATCAGAAGCAAGATTCCAGGAAGTGAATGCCCTTATCTTTGAAGCCATTTCCTGTAGCGACAATCGCAGTGAAAATGATGTTGAGGACTTGCCTGAGGACTCGAACGTCGAATCCCTTGAAGTGGATGCTATTAACAAAAGCTCTGGCACCGGCACCGCTATGGTGACTGGAAATCAAGAATGCCTTGTTCTGCAGTAAGGTTTGGCTTGATGAGCAAACCAGTTGTGTTTCAGTCTGGCATGTAAAGTAATTCCTATTATTAGTGGCAGTAGCCTAAATAAGCGAAACTAGGTTTGCACCATCGAAACTTGGTTTGCCTTGTTCTAGTGCCATTCATGGTTTGTTATTCATAACCATTTATGCTTGAGTATTCAGCTTATTGGTCATGTAATATTATCCTATTTGTACGTACTACATTGGATTGCCAAATACTCTTATGGAAAGTTTGCTGTTATAGTGTAAATAATTCATCTCTTTGCTTATGAATTTTTAGGGTTACTGAGTCTTCGGTGAGACAAAAATCAAAATATAACCAGAATCTTCACAGTATAACGAGGATTCCTAGGTTTGTTGAAGTTCTAGGTTTGATGAAGTTCATAACAGGTGATTGAATCAAGGGGACTAAGCGCATACCACATATACAGAGAACTAACTTGAGAATTAATTTTTAATTTTTAAAAGTTCTTAGTTTGCCATTCAATGGTTTGTTATTCATAACCATTATGCTTGAGTTATTCAGCTTATTTGGTCATTGTAATATTATCCTAGTTGTTAGCGCTTACTACATTTGGATTGCAAAATATCTTATTGGGAAAGCCTTTCTGGCTGTCCTATAGTGTAAATTATAGTACACCTCTCTCTTTGCTTATGAATTTTTAGGGTTACTGAGTCTTTCGGTGAGACAAAAATTCAAAATATAACCAGAATTCTTCACAGCCCTTATATAACGTGAGGATTCCTAGGTGTTTGTGAAGTTCTAAGTGCCTTTGATGGAAGTTCATAACAGTTAGTGTATTGAATCACAAGGGGACTAGCGCATACCAACAGATTCACTACACCGTGAAGAATCTAAACTTGAGAATTAAAAGTGTTTTAATTTTTAAAGTAAGAGTTAGTCCCAATAAAACAAGACATAAATAGATAAAGTGAATAACTTTTAGAGGCCCTCTGACTTAATACAACATTCCCCATTACAGAGGATAAACTTAAATTTGAAGTAACTTTAATTTTAATTTTAAAGTTTAAAGTAGCATAAGAAAGAATTGAATTCAAACTTTAGAGGGTTAAAAAGTAATTTAAGAAGCTCTCACTCAGCTTCTTTTAGAAGATGTTAAATACGTCTCTAAGAAAAATTAACTTTGTTTTAGCTTTTTAGTTTGTTAAGGATATTGAAAAGTTATTCTGTTTTAATAATTTTGACCGATAGACCTTTCAGTTATCTATTGCCAACAACTTAACCAGGCGCGTGATCTTTGAGAAAATAGGGGAGATGCTTAATGCAGTAGCACGTTGGATTTTTATCAGTAGCAAGTGAATCTTTCATCTTTGATCATGTCAACATTTTTTAGTGTGCCCTTGGTGGACAGCACCAAAGGAATAAAGTTAATTTATAAACCATAAGTGTTTTCTGGAAAAATAATGCAAGAGGTGGGTGAGTATCCAATTATCAAAATAATCATCTTAAATACTTTATAAAGATACTTACAATGTATATCATGCGGATGATGCATGGATAATATATTTAAATATTAGAATAGTCAACATCAAAGCTGACTCTTCCAATTATAATTGAAACCAATATAAAAAATAATTAAGCAAGGCCTTTGGCACTTTTAAGGACTAAAACCAAAATCATTGTACCAAACTTTTCCACAAAAGTGTGGCCAAAAAAAAAAAAAAAAAAAAAAAAATTGATCCGACGTATTTCATCCCATCACCAAAATTAAAAAAGCATCAAATGGTTTTGGATTTTTGAATTGATAAGGTCAAGCGAAAATATCAATTACTAGCGCACATTAAATAAAATCTTTAAATAGGCGAATAAAAAAAAAAAAAAAAAAAAAAAAATTGACCGACTATTTCATCCCATCACCAAATTAAAAAAGCATCAATGGTTTTGATTTTTGAATGATAAGTCAAGCGAAAATATCAATTACTACCAAATAAATAAAATCTTAAATAGGGAATCTTAGTTTAGTATCAGTTCGTTCTCATGTTATTTTTTGCTACGGACTGTACCCTCAAATTTAATTTTTTAGAAAGCAATTATTATTCCACTAACATAAGAAAATATTGTCCATGAAAGCAATAACTAGCGTTAACTTATGTGGGTTGGGCCATAACAGAAGCCTGCACTCTACGTTCGGAGTCAGATTTAGAACTGAGGCCCATTAGGCAGTAATTATGTGAAATTCTTGGCCCAGAATTCTTTCTCTTGTTTCCACTCTGCTCTCAGTCGCTTGGGGCTAGGGTTTGATCAAGCGCTCTCTTTTGTTCGTAGGTAAGTTTACATCATTCGGGGGAAAACAAATTTGAACTTTCTTATCACGAATCTATACATTCGAACGCGTTTTTTAACAATTCATTGGTTATTTTTTTGTGCGATTCTTTGCCTAATTGGATGCTAAGGGTAATCATCTGTTTGCTTTTCTTTGCTCTCTGTAGTTCATAACTTTTATTTTTTGGGATCTTTATTTTTTTTTGATGCAGATTCTTGTTGGGTATTTTTGTTTGTTATTTATTAGTGTAGGATTAGTTATTGTTCTGCTTTTCAATTTGTAATCTTAATTTTATTTTCTGGGATTTGTAAATTGTGATTCTGATTTTTTTTTTTCTATTCTTTAATTATGTTCTTTGATAGAATTGTATTCTGCTCTCTATTATGGTTATGCATGATATTGCTTTTTACTGGTTTTTTAGTTGGAGTTATGTTTTTAGTGCTCAAATCCTTCAAAAAAGGGGAAACTGGAACTGTTTATTTGGTTTAGATTATATAATCTTCATAATATCAATGAAACAATGTTGAACCATGTGCTTCCTGTTTTTCTAGAATGATTATTATGGTTATATCTGTGTACTTTTATATTTCTTTCAATTCACATTTCTGTAGTTTATAAAAAGTCTTATGATTTTATGAACCTTGCATTAATCCTAGTCAAAGTGCAATTTTGATAACTTCATTAGCTCTTAATTTCACTTTTTGACAACATTATGTGCTTATTGCATTAGCACAAAGAACTTTCTTAATGATTTTGATGAGTTTTGCTCCATCAAATGTGTTATTGTTGGATTTGCAGATTTATTCAAAATGAAGAAAGGAATTCATCCTCAGATGCAGTGGATATCGTACGTGACCCAGAGTGGCAGATTGATGCACATTATGATGACCAAAATTCACCATGTCGGTAAAGTCTACCACTTCAGGGCGCGGCGACAAATGGCTGAAAGTTTAGGACAGATTGCCAAGTTTAAGCGCCGCTATGGACAAGAAGACACAGAAGACACTACAAAATGACCTGCTTTAAGACCAAAAGGGGAGCTCAGTATTGGTGCTCATATTTTGTCATGTACTTTAGATTGGAAAGTAACAAAGACCAAACCAGTGAGTTTTGCTATGAAGAGCAATAACTATTTTCTGCTAATGGGCACTTGAATTTTAAGAACAATTCAATTTTTGATCAGTTTAGTTAACAATGCTGTCACTGCCTAATTAAACTGAGTATATGTAACTTTATTGAATTTGGTCAATTTGAGTCCTTGCAAAATACAGAAATATCAAGACAAGTTTTTAGGTTTGTGGATTTATGTCCTCTTTGTAATGAATATATGGTAATTCTGCAATTCCTATCAATTTCATAGAAAGAAATTGAAAATACTTACTGATTACTTGGATTCTTTTTTTTTTTTTTTTTTTTCTTTACTGATTTACTTGGATTCTTTTTTTTCTCTTTTTGTTTGAAGTAGCAGATTATTTCTGAAAATTGAATGTTGAAATTTTATTTTCTGATAGTGAAGATTAAAATGATTTTTTTTCATTTGATTTACTCGAGAAGCATGGCTTTGTGTGTATGCATATATAAGCTGCCGCCTATATATGCGTGTGATTAGTTAAGTTGATAGGCACAAATTGCATGAATGTGATTGGTACCGTCCACCTTTTTTTTAATCTTTTTTCAAACAAAAATACTCTGTTGCCCTTATCCCTTCACATTTCCTTGAAATACCTTAGTATAATATTTCATATGATTTTTTTTTTTTTTTTTTTTGAAGTAGAGATTATTTCCTGAAATTGAATGTTGAATTTTTCTGATGTGAAGATGAAAATGTTTTCATTTGATTTACTCGAGAAGCAATGGCTTGTGTGTATGCATATATAAAGCTGCCTGCTATATATGCGCTGTGATTAGTTAGTTGATAGGCACAAAAATTGCATGGAATGTGATGGTACCGTCCACCTTTTTTTTAATCCTTTTTTCAAACAAAAATACTGTTCCTTATCCCCTCACTTTCTTGAAATACCTTAGTATATTTCATATGAGAAATCAGTTTGCTCACACCAGCTGCACCTATAAACCTGGATTTGTAAAAGCAAAAGTTCACTTCCATGCGCAAGCAAAAGGAAGCAAACCTCTCCCTAATCACGTAGTTGGTGATTACCACCCCTTATAACACGAGTTGTTACTTGTCTTCCGTGTAAGAAAAACATGAATGCTCCAACATCATCAAACTTCTACGAAAAGCAACAATACTGTTGAAGTTCAACAAAAAGAAATATTTATTTATATATGTACTCTGTTTTGTCTAAAGTCATTTGCTTGTGCAGCTAAATAATGCGGCTAGTCAATGCTATAATTGTTATCTTGCTTATACTGATGCTCTCCTTCTCTTCGAGAGGAGTGGAACAAAATATCACGACGAATGCTGCTTCTCCGTGGATTAGGAGAGTAGCGAAAAACCACCCGCATCTGCATCTGCATCGGCATCCGCACCCATCACAGTCACCATGGTTTAAGAGAGCAGCGAAGAACCATATGCATCCTCATCCTCACCCGCGACCCTCAGGGTGCATGAGAACGCCATGGATATGCAGAAAGGGAGAACATCTGCCTGAGGCTCGAATGCGATGTTGCAAAAACCAATGTGTTGATGTCTCTTCTGATATTAATAACTGTGGTTTATGTGGAATTAGGTGCCCCTTTACCTGGCTATGTTGTAAGGGATTTTGTGTTGATACTAAAATTAACCCTTTCAATTGTGGCAAATGTGGGAATAAATGCCCATGGGGGGTTCATTGTATTTATGGGATGTGTGGATATTCTGAACCCAAGCCATTGCCTCCATGGCCTCGCCCCCGCCCCCACCCTCACCCTCACCCTCACCCTCCGATATTTCCATTACCTCCTAGACCACCAAGTCCATGGCCGCACTACCCACCTGAAGGCAATAGCCTAGAATTAGTCTAAGTGGTTGATCTTGGTGAACATGTTTGTTGTTCAAAGTTGAAGTTTTAGTTTTGTTGTTGAACTAATTCTCTCATTTCATGAGTGTGTATCACTTCTTGTTTTATGTTTAAGGAGATTATAAAAGAAGAAAAAGAAGAAGAAGCAAACTTGGTAGTTTGTGATGTTTCTTTGAAGTTCCATGTTTTTAAGAGACTGTTGAGACCCATGCGTGTGATGTGAAGAATCATAATAAACTGGTGCTTTTTCAGTTCATTTTGGGTTTATATTTTCTAGGCACACAAATTTCGGCTTGAACTGCTAAAATGCTGAAGTAATAGCCTGAGCTTAGGCCTTTTACAGAGGACTCTTTCTTTTTACTTAAATGACTCGTGTGGGTCTCTTATTATTAGTATTATTATTAAAAGAATTATCAATATGTTGGTGATATTGTAACAATAAAGAACTAAAAAGAGGGCAAAAGTCTGATTTGCTAGCAACAGGCAATGCCTTGGGTTTCCAAGAAACAGGGGATTGAAAGTGGAATATCGTTATAGTAACTAATGAAAACAACAAATCATCGGATATATTTCGGATATAAATAAGTATTTTCGACGAGGATAAATTTTTATTATTCTTCGATTGTCTTTATTAGCAAGTATTTTCCATGAAGATAAGTTTTTGTTGTTCTTTAATTGTCTTTTTCCAAATAAATAATATTTTTGGTTTATTTGTAAAAAAAATTGGAGGGACATAAATATAATATAAGAAAAATGTTTGTCTCTATTTGTAATTAAAGGCAAAAGTGGATATGAGCGGCCCAGACCCAGTTCCTGTATTTATTTATTTTGCGCCAAAACAATTGTTCGTTTGTTCTTCCCAAAGATCCCGCTTTTTCTCGCTTGCCCACTTTCCCTTTAAAACCCTATCTTTTTCTCGCCATACGAACAATCCAAAATCAAATCTCTGCGGTCGGCTTTCTCTCGCTACTCACAGGTTCACTTTCCTTCTCTTCTCCTCTCTCTGTCTCTCTGTTTCTCTTTTTTCTACTTTTGGTAAGTGTTACTTTTGATATGTTTTAGCATTCTATAGACCAAAGAGAAAATAAATAAATAAATTTGTTTTGAATTAAAATAAGCTATCTTTCATTTAGTTTCAGTTTATTGTTTGTTGTTTGTCATATATAGAGAGGAAGGTTTATGATATGCGCAACCTTGTTGTGATTTTTGATTTAGTTTATTGCAGGTTATTATAATCTACTGCTTGGTTGTGATTTTTGATTTAGTTTATTGCAGGTTATTATAATCTACTGTTAATGGCTACCTCTACTTGGTTTTCCTCCTGTTTATTGAATGAAGGTTCAATTGTTTCCTTGCCCACCAAGAGCTATGCTGGATTAACGTGCAATTACTCGAGACTATTTGATAAACAAATCTTTTGTTCAAAACCAATCTCTGTATCTGCTGGATTAAGGCATTCATTGAGGAATGGAATCCAGTGTCGTGCATTGGAAATTGAAAATAGCCCTTCATTTTCAGTTGGGAATAAGTTTCAACTTGATGATGTGATTGAGGCACAGCAGTTTGATAGAGAAATTCTTAGTGCTATTTTTGAAGTTGCAAGAGAAATGGAAAAGATTGAGAAAAATTCTCTTGGGAGTCAAATCCTTAAAGGTTATCTAATGGCTACCCTTTTTTATGAGCCATCTACTCGTACTAGGCTTTCTTTTGAGTCTGCTATGAAAAGGTTAGGCGGTGAGGTTTTAACTACTGAAAACGCGAGGGAGTTTTCATCTGCTGCCAAGGGAGAGACGCTTGAAGGTGATTGTTTTCATTTTGTTTTGCTTTAAATAGTTTTTGCTGGTTACTTAGTTTTGGAGCTTGATTTGCAGATACTATTAGAACTGTTGAAGGGTATTCTGATATTATTGTTATGCGTCATTTTGAGAGTGGTGCTGCAAGAAGAGCTGCAGCTACTGCTAGCATTCCTATTATTAATGCAGGTGATGGTCCTGGACAGCATCCAACTCAGGTGTGTTGAAATTTCTTTCTACAATTTTTGTCTAGAAAGGAGCGTTAACACCAAATACAAGAGAATAGTTGACAAAAAGAGGTTTGCCATAAGGGAATGGACGAGTTAGTTTCTTTGATATGACAAATAAGTAGCCTTATGACAGAATAAAGATGAAAGAGGCAGTAGAGTTCGGCAGATGGATAAGTTACTGAGGTTAATAATCTGCTTGTGTTTTTGCGACCATGATTTTGTTTTATTCTAAATCCTTCCCAACTGTAACTGTTTTGAGTGGAGCACCCTCATGATTTTGTTTATTCCCTTCTTTCAAGAATTCTAGGTTAGTTGCACTGGTGTAGTTTGCATTTTCACGTAGGAACTGACCTCACCACTAAGGAATTATAGCATGTAAGACCAACCCCTGCTGGAAAAAAAAATGTTCTATTATCATAACCATATACATGATGGTCATCAACATTTAGTGATCAGTGTGAATGTGCTAAGCAAAAATATTCAAGTGTAAGGATATTGTGAGCTATTTGTAGATGGTGATATTGGATATGGTAAATTATTAGTCTGATTTTTGTTTCTGTAAATGTTGCAGGCTCTTTTAGATGTATATACTATTGACCGAGAGATAGGTAAATTGGATGGTATTAAAGTTGCACTTGTGGGTGATCTTGCCAATGGAAGGACAGTCCGCTCACTTGCATACCTCCTTGCCAAATATCAAGATGTGAAGATTTATTTTGTCTCTCCTGAAGTAGTAAAAATGAAGGTGATAGAACTAATTTCTTCTCAAAAAGACAAATGAACTTTCAACTGATGAGTTGCTGTTAATTGAGAAAAGGAACAATAATTAGAATTTGAATTGGGAAGATACTTTAGAAGAACTTTAAATTTAGGTTATAGTTCCTTATGTTTAATGATTCTTTTTCTCAGGACGATATAAAAGATTATTTAACATCGAAGGGAGTTACATGGGAAGAAAGTGCTGATTTAATAGAAGTAGCTTCAAAGTGTGATGTTGTGTATCAAACTCGCATTCAGCGAGAAAGGTTTGGAGAGAGAATAGACCTTTATGAAGAAGCTCGAGGCAAGTATATAGTGGATCGTGATGTGTTAAATGTGATGCAGAAGCATGCTGTAGTTATGCATCCTCTTCCAAGGCTGGATGAGGTAAACATTATGGTCATATCTTTTTTCCTTAAAAGATTATGGGGCTGGCCAATTCATTTCTTCTGATTATTATGCTTTGCAGATAACTATTGATGTTGATGCGGATCCAAGAGGTGCTTATTTTAGACAAGCAAAGAATGGTCTCTACATCAGAATGGCTCTTTTGAAGCTTTTACTCGTTGGATGGTGAGGAATGGGCCATCTAAAGTTTGAAATTTTGACGTTTAATCTTTTTACCTGGCCCAGGTTTTTTTTTTTTTTTTGGCCAGTGAACAAATTTGTGAGAAACGCGAGAATTCTGTTACTTTTGAGGAATAGGTCACAAAAAATGAACAATGATATAGTTTCATTTTCCTTTTATTTCCTTTTGATGAGCCTTTTATTTTATACCGATGACATGAGACCAAAGGGTGGTTGCATGTAAGAATGTGGCCTATTTTTTCTTTGAGAATAAGTAAGGGGCAACATTTTCAGGCAGTTAATATTATTGGTCTTTATATTTTTGTTTCATCAATTATTCAGTCAATTGATGTTTCAAAATAAAGAACAGCTTGTAAGCAAATAACCCCTTTCAAGTAATATTGCAGAAATGTGCAAGTACCATTTAACACTTCTAATAGGTAGGGAATTTTGGATCTACATCATAGGACCAGGCTTCCAAGCCTCCAATGATATCTTTAGCTGAACTAAAGCCCTTGCTTTGTAATAATTGAACAGCCCTCTGTGAATCGTTCCCTCTTCTACATACTACGTATAGGCTCACACCTGATTCTGATTCAGGACCTCTGCGCTCTCCCTCTTCCTTCAATGCAGATGAGATTTCAGGCAACCTAGCCTCCAAACTTGCTAATGGAATGTTCAAGGCGTTAGGAAGAGCAACAATCTTGAAATGGTGGGCAGGGCGTACATCTAGCAACACGTGCCCTTCCCCTTTAACGATTTTCTCGTTGAAGTCTTTACTGGTTATTCTGGAGCCTGCTGAAAGCAGGTTCAACTTCGGTGGAGCCTGCATGCCAGAGAGAAATGAAATCAGAAACTCTCTAAGTTCATCTTGAAATCTTAAAACAATTGGGAATGAAGGTACTAAATTTATCTAGAAAAAGACACATAAACGAAGACAAATCAGCATGATCTCACTTTGCCTTTCTTTTGGAAATGAAACAAATTGATCCAAATCCCAGTCCGGTCAAAACACAGTTTGCATTTTGAAAAAAAAGAGAAGACAAGTTAAGAAAGCACTAGAACCGTGGACAATGGAGACTGAGTGAACTTCTCATAATCAAAATCTCTAAATTGCTTTTGGTTGAATGCTGCAGTTTCTCCACAAACTTCACAATTCAATGACCTGCTTCTTATCTTGACCTGACCAATATACAACAATCTCATATAAGCTTGAAACACAACTAAAAACAGATAAAAACATTAATCAAATCAAAGATGGAACATACAATGCGAATTCGTGCCGACAATGCATCTAATAGAAGCATCCGTCCTGATAGAGGTTCACCAATGTCACTAGCAATTTTAATGGCTTCAAGTGCTTGAAGACAACCAATGATACCAGGAACTGCAAAATAAATTAATCAATAGAAAAGTAACCATGTAGCAGGGTATGCTTATGTCCAGCAAAATATCATAAAGCATATCAGTAAACAGGACATAATTAAAAGTTCATAGATCTCTAACATAAACAAAAGCAATGTCTTATATAAAGCCTGGACAGCAATCAACAAGACATATTTAGAAGTTCATAGATCTCTAACATAAACAAAAGAGAAGACAAGTTAGAGAAAGCACTATATGACGCGTAGGACAATGAGACTGAGAAGTGTAACTTCTCATAATCAAATATTAAATTGCTTTTGGTTGAATGCTGCAAGTTTCTCCCAAACTTACAATTCAAATTGACCTGCTTCTTATCTGACCCTGAAAAAAAAACTCTCCCTCCATAAAAAAAAATTATCCCACAACAAATTCTTTTGTCAAAAAAAAAAATAAAAAGGCTCCTTGTAAACCCAACTAAAAACAGAATAAAAAACATTAACTCAATATGAAGATGGAAGCAATAACAAATAGCGAAATTCGTAGCCGAACATGACAAATAATTGAGGAAAATCAATCCGACCTGATAAGAGGTTCTAACACAATGTCACGTAAAGTTCATAGATCTCTAACATAAACAAAAGCAATGTCTTATATAAAGCCTGGACAGCAATCAACAAGACATATTTAGAAGTTCATAGATCTCTAACATAAACAAAAGCAATGTCTTATATAAAGCCTGGACAGCAATCAACAAGACATATTTAGAAGTTCATAGATCTCTAACATAAACAAAAGCAATGTCTTATATAAAGCCTGGACAGCAATCAACAAGACATATTTAGAAGTTCATAGATCTCTAACATAAACAAAAGCAATGTCTTATATAAAGCCTGGACAGCAATCAACAAGACATATTTAGAAGTTCATAGATCTCTAACATAAACAAAAGCAATGTCTTATATAAAGCCTGGACAGCAATCAAAATATAAATTTCCTACAAAACTCATGCGATTTCTGTAACATACCAACTCCTAAAACTCCACTATCAGCACATCTTTGGCATGCTGTTGTAGGAGGTGGGGTTGGAAAAAGGCATCGATAGCATGGACCTCCTTTGTAATTATAAACTGTGAGCTAGGAAATAAATTTGATAGAGTTAGATCTAGTGTTTTCAAGGCATATTAAGAGACAGAGGAATGTGCATGTGATTTCTTATTTGATATGACAACAATAGAGGATACCTGCCCTTCTAATCCCAATGCCGCACCTGATACAAGAGGCTGCATGTAGATAAACGGGAAATTATTAATGTTGAAGGTCAAAAAAAAAAAAAAAAAAAAAAAAAAAAAAAAAAAAAAAAAAAAAAAGAAGAAAAAAAAAAAAAAAAAAAAAAAAAAAAAAAGAAGAAAAGCCTGGGTTACACTAATGATTAAATATCATGCAACTCCCTCAGTTTATATGAAAAGAAATCGGCACCATCCATAGACAAAAGCAGAGCACCATCATGCATCATCATGAGCTTTTATTAGAGTAACTATCACTGGGACTCCATGCAATTTACATGATTATTGAGTCCATTTAGATTTAAGGGAATTAAAGAAATTAACATCAACAAAAACTGCAAATTACATGAATCAAGTCCAAATTATTCCTAATTACATTTATGTGCAAGACTATCCCTACACTTCGTTCTGACAGTATTTGCAAAATCATTATAACAAGCACTTTAGGTTGTTAATTTACCTTTCCCAACACCACACAACAATCACTGATCATGTAACGGCTTGGTGCATTATCTGTTGCATCTACTATTATGTCATATCTAAAAAAGTTGGCAGTTATGGAGACCACAAAAGTTGTCTTGACAGTTAAAAAGGAAAAAAGAGAGGAAAATAAAATATAAAGCATGCATAGAAAGAGAAAAAGAAAACATAACACAGATTCATTATTTTAAGGATACTGGCTAAATATTTCCAAGGCATTGTATGTGCGTAAAGCTTCTTGGTGCTCCACAATCTGAATGGTAGAGTTGATCCTGAAAACAAATATACGGATTAAATAGAAGTAAACCATACAATTAGAATAGAAACTTCTAAGATTCATGGCGATGACAAGAATGATTGACTTTATCCTTCACAGCATATAAAATCTTATCCTTCGACTTGAAAGTTATTACTCCACAAGTTGTCGATGCAAAATGTATGAAGAGATCTGATAATTGATATGCAGCTGGACATCAAATATTTTAAGAACAGAAGATGAATGATTTGGAAGTGCACATACGAGCGACAGGCAGCAGCAGCAGATTTCACTTTGGGCTGACCAATAAATGGCTCAGTATGTATAACCTGGAGTACAAAAGATAACAATACAAGTTAGTTACAATTAGGGCCTGAAAGATGAAATCGAGAATAACATAACATAAAGAAAAATGCATGCAAATAGAAGTACTAAAAGACTCCAAGATGATGGTTCAACAACAAAAGACAAAGTTGCACACAAGATAAAACCTAACTCTCACTCCTAGTCTTATTATTGTTATTGTGGACAGACAAAGGTAAAACATGCACAAGAACATTACAATTATAGAATACAACAACTAAAATAACAGTAACAATGAACTTTCAATATCCATAGTTCCAACTTCATACCTGCCTGTGCATATTATTTAACTCAACAACATCATGGTCAACAATACCCAACCGACCTGCAAGGTAAGCCTAAAAATTTTAGGGAAAAAAAAAAAAAAAAGGGAAAAAAAAAAAAAAAAATAAGAAAAAGAATAAAGGGGATGATTTCGAAAAAAGTAGGGATAGTTCAAGTACAATAAATCTTAGCTTATCTAAAAATTTTAGGGAAAAAAAAAAAAAAGAAAAAGAAAAAGGGGAATTTCGAAAAAGTAGGGATAGTTCAAGTACAATAAATCTTTAGCTTATTTAATTATTTAGGATTCACCCCACAAACAACTTATATTGATGTATTGGGTGCACAATCACATTAAGGTTATTTATCAAAAGCTATTCTATAGATTATCCCAATTAAAACTCCGCAACAATAGAATTACAAAAGTACTAAAATCGAAGCATTTTCTTCTTCACTTTAGTGCACAACATATATTCTTCATCCTTTCATGCTTTTGTTAATGTTCCTTTAAAGTTTTTTAATTACAGAAATAGATAAACAAATAAATTTCTATCATTATTATGGAATGCATAAGAAGAGAGATAAAATTAAGACAAGAAATTTGAAAATACTTTATATCTAAAATTATGCATTTGTAATTCTATTGAATCAAAGATGTTCTATAAGAAAAGCATAAGACAGTTCAAATTAAAGAAAAGAAATAAAAATTTAAAATTATGCATTTGCAATTCTATTAAATCAATGTGCTATAAGAAAAACATTGTATTACTCCAACATTATTGCTAGAGAACTTATTTCAAAACTAAGAACATAAATTAGGCCTGAGAAAAGTATCTAAGCGTGTCTTACCAACACCGCAAGCTGCAAGATATAACAGAGCAGGCGACCCCAACCCTCCAGCTCCGACAACTAAAATAGAAGACTTTAACAGATTTGACTGGCCTGTAATTAAACAAACAAAAGGTATTACCACCAATCATAAAGTCATTATGGTTTAGTAAAGTTAAATATCCAATTATATATATGAGAACCTTGAACTCCAAAGGAAGGGAGTAAGAGATGACGACTGTAACGGTAAATCATATCAGACGATAATCCGTGGCCGAAACCATAATCGACAATGGAAACTGGAAGAGAAGAACCGTTAGAAGAGACGTTGTCGTTGGGGAGATTCAAGTGACGGAGCTTAGCTTCGAGAGCCGCAATTCTATTCTCTATGTCGCTCTTTGTTGCCTTTAATGTTTCAATTTCGCCGAGGATTTGAGCAGCGTCAGTTCCGTTTGACTTCATTTTCGAAATGATTGCTTTCGATCCTTTTTTGCAGAGAATGAAAGCTCAGTAAAGAAAGTAACTAACAGGGAAGAGCAGAGAAACCCTAATTGGAAAAGTAAAACTGAGGTTTTAGCACTTAATTAGCTGCTACGTATTATCGTCTACAGAGCATCAGTCGTTTTGGTCAAACGAAGACCTTTACACGGTGCCACACTAAATACAGGATTCTCAACAAGCAAGAAATTGAAATTTAAAAACATGTTTGTCTGTTAATTTGTACACGAGGAGTGGGGAGAACTTCAGCAAGAGAGACTGTCATTCGACGGCCTGTCGTTTTTATCTGGAATAGATGACATCATTTAAAAGCTAGGGCGTGTTTGTTAATTCATAGAAAACAGATTCCTGTTTTTTTACTTTCTAAGAAAACAACTTTTTTAGAAAATAAAAATAAATTTTTTAATAATGGAAAATAATATTTAACAAAAAAAAAAGCTATTCATAAATTTTTGCGATTAAACTGGTAAAATATTATAAATATATTTTTATATATTTACAATATAGTATAATGTGTTTTATGTCTTTTTAATTATCTATAATTAAAAAATATTTTAAAATATCCTTAATATCGTGAGGATAATCTTTGTCTATTGATTTTTATTTTAAAGGAACGTTCTCTTTACAGAAATGGCAACAACTTAGTAGATAAGTCTTTCTTAAAATTAGAAGAAACCCGATGAGCCTATACAAGTCATTGCATGGCTCAATCAGAAATGGCAAACCCACGTAGCACCACTTGCTGCCATAAATTGACACGTGCACATGCTTTCATCATCTTCGATTACCAAGTAGCAATCCTACCATCTCCCATTCCCATATCCTCTCCAATTTTCCTGCAGAACTGAGTCTGAACTAATTATTAAAAAAATGAGTGGCCGTTCCTTCCTTTTCTGCAACCTCTCTCGGCCATCAATACTTGTGAGGCCTTGGACGCCATATTTTCTGTACAACCCCATCAAGGTAATAACTTATTGAATAATGTTTACTACGTTGAGAGTTTGCTGGTTTGAATCATTGAAACGCTATCGTTTTAATCGACAGAGAAACAAGGGAAGTAGCGCGGAGAAAGAGAATGAAGGGCTTGCAATAGATCAGGAGAGAGCTTCTTCAACAGCTGATGAGTTCAAAAGAGTTGCAAAGGAGAAGGAAAAGGCTGAAGAGGCAACGCGTGTCGCAGAAGATCAAGGCATTACTAGTCAAACTGGTGAAAAGACAATCGACGGCGCAGAAGAGGCTTCTGGAGATTCTAATATCGAATCTGTTAAAAACAGGTATAAGAAGCATGAACTGGGTGCTAATTCTGGTAGAACAGGTTGATTAATTAGTGAGTTCTGCACATCAAGACTTAAAGTTATATATATATATATATATATATATGATTAATTATGTGGAGTCTGCTGCGACATCAAACTTAAAGTTATATAGTTATAATTATATATATATATTAAATAAAGATGGATTGAATTATCTATATTGTACCATATATATATATATATATATATTAATAAAGATGGATGATTATCTATATTGTACATATAGTAGCTATTATTTTCACCGAAAAAATTACAAATAAGAGAGTTGTTTGCTTTTTTTTTTTAAAAAAAATTTGGATTAGTTGGATTATTAATTTTGATGTATATGTAATAAGAATTAATTGGATTTCAAAATTTCTTTATGTGAGAAAAAGAGGAAATAAAGTTGTTTATTTTAGTGCTAATTTTCTTGTCAATCTTGATAATTTTTATCCGCTGGCTTCTTTCTCGACTCCCCTGGGGATGGCTTCAAGGCTCTTACATGATGTCTGTGACATTTCATAAGCTAGATCAATTTTGTAGTTGCTTTGGAGCCTTGGCTTCCCTTTATTCTTATGTTAAAAAGAAAAGCAATACCAACTAATATGGGTAAAAAAAATTTATTTACGTTCCGTGGATGGTCGATGTATGAGTTTATCTACTAATATTTCATTAGAGGAAAAAATCAGAAATCAGAAATATTAGACAGTGAATTGATAGAAATGCTAGACAGTGAAATGATTTAAATGATGAGATTTCTTATCATACATTTAAAAATGAAAAAAAAAAAGATAAAACAGTAAAAATATTTTTAGAAAAACCTTTTTTTATTGTATTTTTACATGGAATTATTCATACAAGACAAGAAATGCATGAAAGGTAAGGATTTTTCATTAATGTGTTGACATTAAATTTAGAGGATTTAGTGCACATTTATTGGAATAGAAGAGTAGGTGCATTGGGTTAGGTCACCTTCAATCAAATGAATAACAATAACCACTTCATACAAACAAATGAAAAAATAATTTTTATTTAAAATTTGTATTAGCTAGCTACAGCTAAAACCAACTAAATTCCCTTTATGCAATTTAGCAAAAACCCCAACAAGACATGCTGTGTTATAAGTACATGCTTCAGTTTGCACATAGTTTCCTCTCTCATCTCTAAATTCATCATTCTTGTCTGGCCCACCAACTATGGCCCCCACAAGGACATTAGGGTTTGGATCTTGGCTGTTGTACCCTATATCATACCCTTGTGTGCACCCAACAAAACCCTTGTACTCTTTATATGATGCAATGGATGCGCCTCTATGGTGGACCTTTTGAGGATACTTCGAACCGTAACCAACCAAGTAGCTCATGTTCATTGGATTAGCACCTAATATATAATCGACTTGTGATTTGGCAAAACCGAAAATTTCTTGTGGGTCCAATGTGCCACGGTCGCATTTCAGCCGTTGATTTGATGCTTGAAGATAATCGGAGTAAACTGTGAGAAGAAACGCAGCCGTTGATGCGTATTGGAGGTTGTTCCATTGGCGGATGTATAGTAACCCTCCTGGGGTGCGTTCCACATTAGTCACGTTGTTTTTGTTAAGACAAGAACAGAGATAAAACTCCGCTTTTGAACGGTATTGTTGTAATATGTGCTCGTGTTTTCTATGCCTCTCCTCAGTGAATAACTGCAAGATATAATAATTAACAAAGTATAATCAGCAAAGTCAAATTAGTGACTGAAAAGTAAAAGTTAGGCCTAGTCCTGGGCCGAGTCTGGGCTAGGTTTACAATAAGTAGGCCTGAGCTTGGGCCGGTCCAAAAAATTAACTGGGTTTGGCTCAAATTTGCTGGGTACACTCGTTTTATGGGGTTGAACGTCTTTTTTTGTTTTTCGCTATTATCAGGTGTCCTCCCACCTTCCATTTAACGGTTAGATGAGAAATTAATCTCTTCGGAACTGAGGAGCGAATACACTGCGATCAATAGGGTGGTCGAACCGAATTTTAATATGTAATTTTTTAGCCGAGCTTTCGCTTCTAATTTGTTTAGAGTTGATCTAAAAATTGAACTGAAACAAAGCTGAAAAGATGGGTTTAACGGATATCCGGACCCGTGATGAGATCTACTACTACAAAGGAGAAATTATTATATAACAAGCATGAGCAATTTAAATGTTACCATGGAAGCAATGAGTTGAAGAGCAGGAAACTTGACATCCCAGCTGAATTCAGAAATGGCCCAAGTGATCCCACCAAATCCAAGAGCATTGTCTAACACATACATCAAATAAACCTCATTGTCGGTGGCTTTGTATAGCCACAAAGCAGCCCATAACAACTCATCCATGTACCCACTCACCGACGTATAGTACCCTTTCACTGTCTTCACACTTTCGTCGTATTTCCCTCTATACTTGTCACCAAATTCAAACAACTGCATGCATTTTAATTGTTTTCTTCAGTTAATTACTCAATTTATTCATTAATTTAGTTACTTAATCTTATAAACTTTATTGGGAATTTTGGTGAACGATGTACCTAACACATATTAAATTTATACATAAACATATACATTTTATTAACTTACTTGTTTTGCATGATGTAATAGTAGTTGGGAGTAATGTGGGTTTGTTTTCTTGAATACTATTGATGCTGCTGCCATTGCTGCCGCTGTCTCTCCAGCCACGTCGGATCCCGGGTTATTCTTGTCGACCTTGTACGCTTGTCGCGATGTTGTCATGTCCTCCGGCCGTTGCCAACAGTAATGATCGGTGTAGCCATCACCCACCTGAAAATATCATGCGTGGCCAAATATGAATATATGGCAATTGAGATAATTAACATAAATGTAGCTCCATGCACTACTATAATTGGCATAATAAATATAGAGTACACACATTTTGAAGGAATAGAAGATTAATTTCCATGGCAAAATTCATAGTTAACATATGATTATATAGAATTAATTTCTGAATTAGTTCACCACCTGAACCCATAGGACATTTTGTTGAGTGTGTGCTTTGATGAAATAATCGGTTCCCCACTTGATAGCTTCAAGCGCGTGATGATATTCGCCAGCTTCGGATATTTCTTTTCCATATTGAATCACACCCCAAGATAGCATTGTTACAGTGAAAGCCATTGGCAGACCAAATTTGACGTTGTCACCTGCGTCGTAATATCCTCCTACCAGGTCCACCTTCACAACCAAATTAATAAAACCAGTAAGTATTAATCCAAATGAGTCCCTATGAATATATATACATACTTACTCCTTGTTCGAGGCCGTCGATGAGGGCGGAGTGGTGGCGCCACGTGACGCGTTGGTTATAGGGTAAGCGACCGGAGCGTTGAGCTTCGAAGTAGAGAAGACTTTTGGATAAAGCTTCGGTATAGTTGAAAGATTGAGACCTGGACGTCGGGAAAATGAGCAAGAAGCTAAAACAGTAGCATAAAAGAAAATTTTTGTTCTCCATTTTCGTTTGCCTCTTTTCTCTTAGTTCAGTTTTGTTTATATACACGTAGTAGGCAGCTGGTTATTTATATGTTAAGCAAGCCTGGTTACCATAATTGGTGAATTAATTAAAAATTTTACTGGTAATTTATATGGTAAGGAAGCAACAGAATCCTGCTTGACTATAATTGGTGAATATTAATTTTAGTGATGAGAATAGATTATGGCCTATTTAATTTTTAATCCTAATGTTTTATGAGAGAATCTTAACTCATTAATTAACTGTCACTAATATCTACGAATTGTGGCTCATCTATGACTTGTGGCTCAATTGACAAGACTGAGTATGTGGGAAGAGCTCTTAAGTTCGATCTTTACTAAAGATATTTGTAGAGACAGGTGAAGAGTCTTACCTGTGACTTAGCTGTGACTAAGTCACAAGCTGAACTAGGAGTTTAGTAATAAGGTCCGGATACCGGTACTTTAAAAAAAAAAAAAATTAAGGGTGAGTGATGAACTGGCTCACCATTTAGTCATTTACAATATAAACTCAGTTTTTCTTTTGATAATAAGTTTAATGGAAATGGAATCTGAAACCGTTAATAATAAGGAAAATTTAATATTGAGATGAAATAGTTAATTTCCCAAAATAATATTACAAGCATCGAGGGGAGGGTAAAAAAAAAAAAAAGTTTAACGATTGCAAAACATAGGGAATATTAATGTATTTTAAAAAATATACTAGTATGACGACAATAGCTGTCGTTTTGCATGAGCCTGCCATATACAAGAGGGCATAGAGGGAGGTAAAAAAATAAAAAAATTAGCTTTAACGATTGCAAAAAAAAAAATTAGTTTAACGATTGCAAAACATAGGGAATATTAATGTATTTTAAAAAATATACTAGTATGACGACAATAGCTGTCGTTTTGCATGAGCCTGCCGTGTAATGATGAGTTACGCGTCGCGATAGTAGTAACTGTCGTTCTTCTGGAAGCAATAGAATACGCAAAAGTGAAACACACAAATGGGCTTATGCCCATTTAAGGGCCCATTTAAAATAGACAGAGAACAAAGTTCTAAATTGGAAACAGAATGTATTATTAGTAATATGAAAGACAAATTAAGGACAAGGACTTACTGAAACATGTTTATCGAATCTTAACTCGCATAATAGCACAAATCAGCTCTACTTGAGCAAATGTATGGCAAGTATTCTATAGCTAACAAGAAACAACTAAGAAAAGAATTACATACAAGCATCACATCTGATGACCAGCAGGCATGAACCAATGAAACTGAGATGTCCAACTTTCAGAAGTTCTTAGCCGTTTGATGCGACTACTTTCCAAATCATACATGCTTGCACGCTTAAATCCACACCAAACATCAGAAAGTCCTTCAAAGGAATCATGAATGTAGTATATGCAATTAGATCTTGGAAGTTCTGCTCCTTTTGGTCTCATATTATTCCCTGTTTTCGATGATGATACTGATATGCAACCATTATAACCAAGAAACAGCGCTTCATTCCCCAAAGTTTCAATCTTTTTCAATTCTTTAGTACCCAAATCAACTTTATACACATCAAATGATGCTACAATTTCTTCTCTACCACCACCACCATCATCATCATCAATTATCCACTCCCATTTTCTATTAATCATCAAGAAATCACCAGATAATGACTCCACTATGTACTTTTCCTTTGGGTAAAGATGAAATGGAGGTTCAAGAGCTATAACTGTCTTTGGATTTGGTCCAAGATCACAACTATAAATTTTGCCTTTAATATCAGTGGCATAAAATTGACCCTTAAAGAACATAATATCATCAAAAGAAACTTCCTGCAAATCAGTGGCATAAAATTGACCCTTAAAGAACATAATATCATCAAAAGAAACTTCCTGCAAATCCTGTAAAGATTTCCATTCTTCATCCCCTGGTCTGCAGAAGGCTAATTTCCTTTCTAAATCCAGTCCATAAATGACCAAAACAATGCAATTTGGATCTAAAGGGCTTAATGATGATGTAATGCACCTCTTTACAAAACCCTCAATTTGTTTAATTCTTTGGCAATTGAATTTAGGGAATTTACTTGCTAATGGAAGCAAGACTTCAGTTCTTGAAATTGGATTCCAGAGATTTACCTTGTATGGTGAAGAATGGCCTATTGTTAGTAACCACCCATTTGTTGAATTACAAATCAACCGATCTTTTGTCTTTGGTAGAAAAATTTCCTGTGTTTCTCCTGTCAAAATATCGCACAAACTGCCCATTTCTTCATCTCTGTGTAGTATCAGAAGCAATGGAAAATGAATTTGATCCCAATAAAATCGGGTCGCTACTGATCTCCAACAAGTACAGACATTGCAACACCGAAAAACATCTAATGAATTATTTAGACGGCTCAATATTTGCTCGAGAAGCCCGTTGGGCATATCGGACCAAGAAGAAGAAGACGAAGAAATGGCCATTGATGTATCAAAACAAGTTCTTGATTTCAGGATTCAATTTATCAAGAATTTAGGAAAGAGGGGTTTAGGGTCAAGAATTTAGGAAAGAGGGGTTTAGGGTGTATCTGAGAATTTCTAATCATGGAACGCTGACTAATCTTTATATCAGATACGAACCAAGAAGAAAAAGAATTGAAAAAGGGTTTTTATAGTTAGCTGGAGATATGGTACCGGTCTTTTATACCAGGTAACCGAAACTCGAACTGATTTCTAATTCTTCTGCACCGAGTACCGAAGCTGAAGTTAACATGTCTTTCCTTTCTGTTTCTTCTACAATGACTTCTTTTTAGTGTAAGAAAGATTCTGGCTGCATTATTTTCTTCTTCTTTTTTTCCACAAAAAAATTGCTTCGAATTAACGATTTCTTTTTTCTTTTTTAGATGAGGATTTCATTTTCAAATGATGCTAAAACTAGCGTTGCTAAAACTAGCGTTTATATTATTGTTTGGTGTTCAAATCTAGTTTCTCAAGACAGGAAATTTTTCCCCTTCACAATTTTTGGATAGCATGCATGTTTCCATATGCCAATTTCCACTTCGATTCTAAATTTTAGACCATTCTCTTCTTCATAAGTTGGGATCTTGGAAAGCCCAAATGTCAAAAGTTTAGATACCAAACAATGCCAAATTTGTATAATCTAACAAGAAGTATAATCACTCCTGCTGGAAACATCCTCATTAGAGAAGTTCAACGCTTCAGAATAAAAAAAGAAGAGTGGGTTAAAAGCATACCAACCGTTACATTTTGCAAGAACAAATGGAACCATGTCGATTTGCATAACAGAAAAAAGGAATAGCAAATTTAAGTCTCAAGAAGTAAACAAGCTTTCATTAACTTTATGAAACCAGAGAAGGTAACACACTTCACATATCGTAGCTATTTTGCCAACAAAGTTCAGAAAATATATGCTGCATGTGTAATTGAAGAGCCATTGTTTTCAAGTGATCCTAATCCACTTAATACTAAATATTTTGCTCCTACCAAATTAGATATTTCTGATGTAAGATCAGACTAAGCCGCAACCATAGTGTATACTTATAATTTAAATTATAAGAAATTATTCTAACACTAAAAGCTACGCCTAACAACTAGGCTCTGATACCACTCACTGGGAAAATTGCTATTTTCCCAGATCGGCTTCAAGCAGTAACAAATGAGAAAATAAAAATAATGACTGAGAAATTAAACAGAACACGGTAGTTTAACGTGGAAAACTCTCCAAGTAGAGAAAAAACCACGACCGTTGCCAAATGACAACAAAAAAAAAATTTACTATGCGGCAAATTGTTACAACCACAAATTTACTATGCGGCAAATTGTTACAACCACAATTACAAAATATTTTTCTACCCGACACCCTCAAAACACCCCAAATATTTTATACTCCAAAGGACTCCAAAAGACTTACTTTAAATCCCTAATATAAAACACATTCAAGTGTTTTTAGAAACCTAAACTTTGGCTTCTTTTTATAGCCAATTCAAACACCCTCAAAACTCAATCTTCCCGACGTGGAATTGAGCACAACCAATTTTTTTTCATATTTTTTTTTCTTTTGTTTTCAACAAAGGAGGCTAACAATATCCATTACAACTACTTTTTGGTACTTTTTTACAGAAAAAAATATAACAAATTACAAAAAATCAGAAACAAACTAGTTAATATAAAATTGTCGTAAGGTGAATGGGATTGCTGGTTACTTAGTTACCTATGAAGATTTTCAGTTGTTTGGAGTTCAGGTGCTTCAAGATCAGCCTCCTGGTGTTCGACAACTTTTACATCCTAATTTATTTGGGGCTATCTGGTCTCGTGTAATTATTTAAAGGGTTTGAATTCCCTCATTTGCAGTTAAAAAAAAATATTGAGATGAAATAGTTAATTTCCCAAAATAATATTACGAGTATCGAGGGGAGGGTAAAAAAAAAAATTAGTTTAACGATTGCAAAATATAGGGAATATTAATGTATGTTTTGACGAAGTTATCAGAAAAAAGCACTAATTTTTCCTAATAATTATTAACAATAGCTGTCGTTTTGCATGAGCCTGCCGTGTAATGATGAGTTACACATCGGAAAAGTAGTAACTGTCGTTGTTCTGGAAGCAATAGCATACGCAAAAGTGAAACACACAAATGGGCTTATGCCCATTTAAGGGCCCATTTAAAATAGACAGAGAACAAAGTACTAAATTGGAAACAAAATGTATTATTAGTAATATGAAAAAAACAAAACAGACAAATTAAGGACAAGGACTTACTGAAACATGTTTATCGAATCTTAACTCCCATAATAGCACAAATCAGCTCTACTTGAGCAAATGTATAGTAAGTATTCTATAGCTAACAAGAAACAACTAGGAAAAGAATTACATACAAGCATCACATCTGATGACCAGCAGGCATGAACCAATGAAACTGAGATGTCCAACTTTCAGAAGTTCTTAGCCGTTTCATGCCACTACTTTCCAAATCATACATGCTTGCATGCTTAAATCCACACCAAATATCAGAACATCCTTCAAAGGAATCATGAATATAGTATATGCAATTAGATCTTGGAAGTTCTGCTCCTTTTGGTCTCATATTATTCCCTGTTTTCGATGATGATACTGATATGCAACCATCATAACCAAGAAACAGTGCTTCATTGCCCAAAGTTTCAATCTTTTTCAATTCTTTAGTACCCAAATCAACTTTATACACATCAAATGATGTTCCAATTCCATCTTCTCTACCACCACCACCATCATCATCATCAATTACCCACTTCCATTTTCTATTAATCATCAAGAAATCACCAGATAATGACTCCACTAGGTACTTTTCCATTTGGTTAAGATGAAATGGAGGTTCAAGAGCTACAACTGTCTTTGGATTTGGTCCAAGATCGCAACCATAAATTTTGCCTTTAATATCAGTGGCATAAAATTGACCCTTAAAGAACATAATATCATCAAAAGAAACTTCCTGCAAATCCTGTAAAGATTTCCATTCTTCATCCCCTGGTCTACAGAAGGCTAATTTCCTTTCTAAATCCAGCATCAGTGGCATAAAATTGACCCTTAAAGAACATAATATCATCAAAAGAAACTTCCTGCAAATCCTGTAAAGATTTCCATTCTTCATCCCCTGGTCTACAGAAGGCTAATTTCCTTTCTAAATCCAGCCCATAAATGACCAAAACAATGCAATTTGGATCTAAAGGGCTTAATGATGATGTAATGCACCTCTTTACAAAACCCTCAGTTTGTTTAATTATTTGGCAATTGAATTTAGGGAATTTACTTGCTAATGGAAGCAAGACTTCAGTTCTTGAAATTGGATTCCAGAGATTTACCTTGTATGGTGAATAATAGCCTATTGTTAGTAACCACCCATTTGTTGAATTACAAACCAACCGATCTTTTGTCTTTGGTAGAAAAATTTCCTGTGTTTCTCCTGTCAAAATATCGCACAAATTGCCCATTTCTTCTTCTCTGTTTAGTATCAGAAGCAATGGAAAATGAATTTGATCCCAATAAAATCGGGTAGCTACTGATCTCCAACAACTACAGACATTGCAACACCGAAAAACATCTAATGGATTATTTAGACGGCTCAATATTTGCTCGAGAAGCCCGTTGGGCATATCGGACCAAGAAGAAGAAGACGAAGAAATGGCCATTGATGTATCAAAACAAGTTCTTGATTTCAAAATGAATTTGATCCCAATAAAATCGGGTAGCTACTGATCTCCAACAACTACAGACATTGCAACACCGAAAAACATCTAATGGATTATTTAGACGGCTCAATATTTGCTCGAGAAGCCCGTTGGGCATATCGGACCAAGAAGAAGAAGACGAAGAAATGGCCATTGATGTATCAAAACAAGTTCTTGATTTCAGGATTCAATTTATCAAGAATTTAGGAAAGAGGGGTTTAGGGAGTATCTGAGAATTTCTAATCATGGAACGCTGACTAATCTTTATATCAGATCAGACACGAACCAAGAAGAATAAGAATTGAAGAAGGGTTTTTATAGTTAGCTGGAGATATGGTACCGGCTCAGTTGGTACTATCTAAAAGCCCGGTCTTTTATACCAGGTAACCGAAACTCGAACTGATTTCTAATTCTTCTGCACCGAGCACCGAAGCTGAGGTTAATATGTCTTTCCTTTCTGTTTCTACTACAATGACTTCTTTTTAGTGTAAGAAAGAATCTTGCTGCCTTATTTTCTTTTTTTTTTTTCCACAAAAAAATTGCTTCGAATTGACGATTTCTTTTTTATTTGTTAGATGAGGATTTCATTTTCAAATGGTGCTAAAACTAGCGTTTATATTATTGTTTGGTGTTCAAATCTAGTTTCTCAAGACAGGAAAATTTTCCCCTTCACAATTTTTGGATAGCATGCATGTTTCCATATGCCAATTTCCACTTCGATTCTAAATTTTAGACCATTCTCTTCTTCATAAGTTGGGATCGCGGAAAGCCCAAGTCAAAAGTTTAGATACCAAACAATGCCAAATTTGTATAATCTAACAGGAAGTATAATCACTCCTGCTGGAAACATCCTCATCAAAGAAGTTCAACGCTTCAGAATAAAAAAAGAAGAGTGGTTAAAAACATACCAACCGTTACATTTTGCAAGAACAAATGGAACCATGTCGATTTGCATAACAGAAAAAAGGAATAGCAAATTTAAGTCTCAAGAAGTAAACAAGCTTTCATTAACTTTATGAAACCAGAGAAGGTACCACACTTCACATATCTTAGCTATTTTGCCAACAAAGTTCAGAAAATATAGGCTGCATGTGTAACTGAAGAGCCATTGTTTTCCAGTGATCCTAATCCACTTAATACTAAATAATTTGCTCCTACCAAATTAACAAACTCATCGAGCGATTACATTAGGCAATAGTGCCACCTGTTTGGTGCAGCATTGCGTCTATCTCATCCCCATCCTCCATTTCCAACTGCAGCAACAAAATGTTAGAAATAGGTTAGAAAGTAGAAACAACAAACTTAAACAATAGTCTGACCCATGCAAATACACTCTAAGAGAGACAAACCTCATCTGGTGTCTGCTCTCCACGAAGCCGGCGACCATCAAATAAAAATGCAATAGAGTTGAACTCCACTGACTGTCGATCACAGTAAGCATTCATGAGCTTCTTCAGTTGAGTGCTTCTCTTAATCCTGAAGAAGACTTCATTGCCATCCTACAAAATGAAGTCAAATTTCCAGCTCTAACTAAGGCCTTGTTTGCTATAATTTTGTGGAATTCATTTGAAATTTCATCTTTTCATGTTTGGTATGAACGAAAATATCAATTTTAGTAGTGTTATCCTGATGAATTCAATTTTATAGAATTCTGCATAACTAAAGCAAATACTCCAACCTACCATGTGTGACAAAGCATACATCTAGTTTTCAAAAGGAAAATCTAGACTAAGTCGAAACTCTCATAAAAGTTGAACAAAATAATAGAAAACATAGAAGTTTAGTGATGCATAATGAACACTTGCAGTGCCGAAGCCTATATGGATTTTTGTAAAAAATATAAATAAAATTCAGCAGAAAAAAAAATTAAATTTTGAAACATTTTAAAAGCCCGTAGGGATATTTTTGAATATAATTAAATTTTGAACATTTTAAAAGCCCGTAGGGATATTTTTGAAATATATATATTAATATATATATATATAATATATATTAATATTTATATATTAATATATATATATATAGTAATATATATATATATATAATATATATAGTTAAGGAAGAAAAAAAACTAAAATTTGAAAAAACTATAGTGCAATCGGCCCCCCAAAGGGCTAAGGATATATAAGTTAAGGAAGAAAAAACTAAAATTTGAAAAACTTAGGGGCAATGGCCCCCCAAGGCTAAGGTAGTTCCGCCCCATCAAGGGTGGAATGCTTGAAGGACCTAAGGTGGCCATACCCATGGCCCTTATCAATGTCAACTAATTATGAAAACTATGGCCCTTCTCCATCTTTCTCATTCGTTGGCCCCTGTCCCTTATCAAGAGAGTCAGCTCCGCCCCTCATAGATCTAAATATAAAACAACTAAGGTCACGCAAGCCTTCGCAGCCATCAGCACCACTTGAAAGGGAATTTCAATATTAAATCACTCTAGTCCCAAAATGTTATTTAAACCAACATAAATCAATTTCAACTAAAAATTAATAATATATTGATAATTGAGAGAAAAAAACACATAACATTGCAGGAAAAGAAAAACAGTGGCCAAGAGAAGAGTCCACCACCTTCATACTCGAATGGAATAACAGTAACCATGCCTATAGAATTCATTAGAAACCTACTTCTAAAGAAAATTCTGATGCAACCACTTCAAACACAATCAGCATAGGTCAAGGAAATTATTTATTGTGTAGGCAAATTCTACAGGGAACAATTGTTGGTAGACGAACCATAAGCAAGAGTGTCAACATGAAAAGATTAGACAATTGCATCCAAATCGACAACAAAATCAAAAGAAAAATGGGATTTTTTCTCACTGAAGACCGAAAAAAAAAAAACATGAAGAAGAGGAAATCAAATCATAAAAAGAAAGGAACCCATAAATGGGCAAGCATTATACTTTAAGTTTTCCATTCAAGTATGTAAAAGCATGTTGATGCAACAAAATACAGCAAAAAGACTAATCAAACAGTGGCAAACTAAGTCTACACATATAAACATAAAAACTAATATACTTATTCCATATAGTCTGCTGCTAAACCAAATCAAATCCCCAAATAAAGTTTTTAAGTACTAAATAAAATCCCTAAAACAAAATTGGCTAATAAAACAGAAACCCACAAAAATTCTTAGCCTAATAACTCAGAGAGACCTAAATCACAAAAGCAAGAAAAGGATCAGACCTGGCCTTTGACTTTGAGATTGATGTGAGCCGATTGATCGGTGGGTTTCTTGTCCTCCTCTTGATTGGACACTCCCGACATTTCAATTTCTTTCTAGGTCTTCGATTTCTGGCTGATGAGACTGATAAAGCGCCGATGTTCAGCAACTATACCTCTCTTTCTCTGTCTCTTGTGCCGACTATTTTAAGCGGAGAGAAAACAGCGTGTGCCAAGGCGCAATAAGATTGACGGCTACGATTGCTCGTTCGAAATTAGACGGAGGGTGGAAGTCACGTATGTTATGACGTAACAAACAAACGAATGTGGCTATTTTCGGTTTTTATCACTCCTCCATCCAAACAAATAGATCCACTTTCTTTATTTTTGTTTATCTTTAAAATATAGTTTACTTTTATTTTTTCACTGTAGTTAAATTTAAATTGTCTAAACACTCTTATTAATTTAATAATTTTTATTAATTATTAATTATGGGTATAATAGAAAAGTTATATGAATAAAATTGTCTTTTAAATATATTTCTTAATTTATGTGAAAATACTATCTTTTTGAGACGAAGATAGTAATAGTTTTTATTTTTATTATCTATTTTAGAATAAATAGATTTTTAATTTTGATGGTTAGCTCATATTAAATACTCATTACATCCCATTTTATTTACTTGTTATTTTTTTTTTTTTATACCTCAAAATGTCTGCAAGGTTTTTAAATTAAACATGTAAAAAATTATTTTTTTAAAAATAACTTTTATAATTGTTCATTGAATGAATGACTTTTAATATGTTAACGAGTTATTAAGGATAAACAGGGTAAAATAATTTTATTGATTAAATTTTTAATATGCGTGTTTTATTAAACTATGCACATAACATTAGATGGTGAGAGTAGCACAGGGTTTTGGTAAAAACTTATACTTATCCCATTATTTGGGGTTAATATTACGCTTTTGTTTCCACCTTTTTTTCCCTTTCTACAAGTTATTCAAAATAGATTTCATAATAAAGTAAATATTTTCATTTAGTCCATTTATTTGAAATAAAATAGAATGAAAATTTCAATCCCAACACAATAAATTGAGTTGAGAATTAATTGAGATTTTTCATATTTTTACTAAATTTTCTCTTTACCGTAAAAATAAATTATTATCATTAATTCCCAATCATATAAAATTCATCTATAGAAATTTGAGTAAAAGGAAAAATAAAAATAAGCTAGATAATTTAAATTATTAATCAACTATACTAAATTCATAATAGGAGATTTTTAGACGCTCTAGCTATAGTATTAATTAAGCATTTTTTAATTATCTCTTTGATGGACTTTGAATGAGAATATTAAAGTTAAATTGAAATTTCTTTTTTAGGTGAAAAATTCAGAATAGCTTTCAGTTATGTGTTGGATTTCCACGGTCCCATTAATTAAAATTACAAATGCTGAATAATAAACATCGAAGAACTGGAGAAATACATCTTAACTCCAAATCAATAAAAGTTAAAATTACAAAAATCACACTGTATAACTGAATTGGATACAATAAATTATAATATCCTCAAAGATGACCTCTTTGATCATGACACTATATAGCTAAATTACATTTGACAAAACCTTGTTCTTTAAGCATTATCAACCAATTAAGCACATTAGCTACCGATCTCAGTTGCCCAAAACAAAAAAAAAAAAAAAACACATTAGCTACCGATCTCAGTTGCCCAAAACAAAAAAAAAAAAAAAAAAAAAAAAAAAAATACCAATGCTACTCTGTTGGGGACATATAGATAAAAGCCTACCCAAATTTCTGGCCTAGGAGAGAAATCACTTTCTATTTCTCTGTCAAGACTGCAAATAAATAGAAACATTTTAGTTCTTTGGAAGAATAATGATATACTTTCTCCTGATTTATATTTATGGACAACAGAACAATCCTATTTATATATAATTACGATAATATTTAGATAAAATATTTTAACAATGATAATACCAAATAAAACCCTTGCAATAAGTGTGAATCGAAATTTTCATTTATATGATTGAGTGTATTTTGCAAAGTCATTGATTCAAAAAAAAAATTGAGAATATAAATAGAAATTAGTTTAATCATTAAAAATAACTAACCTGATCGTTTGGAGCTTGTTCATGAAATCGAAGGGGCTTCATATTCAAATCAATCATTTTATTTTCTATCTTTGCATTTCCATGATTTTGTTGATTCTCTCCATTTGTCGTCTGATTCATATTAGATTGTTGGTGTTGATTTTGTCCTTTCTTGATCTCATCACTTCCATCTACTGCTTGCAAATTTGGGTCTACAGCTACTGTACTGTCACCTGGAAACTAATCAAAATCAAAATTATTATTAAACATTAATGTTCATTTAAATTAAAAAAAAAAAATTTTGATAAAGGGCGAAAGACAAACCTCAACTTTTAAATTAAAAAAAAAAAATTTTGATAAAGGGCGAAAGACAAACCTCAACTCTTTGTCTTAGCAGAAGAAATCTTCTATGCGTTCTTTTACCTCCAACATGAACGCTCACATCACATTGCAAACAAAGCGAACTTCCATCTACTTCACAGTAAAAGAAAGCTGCAATTTTCCAAGAAAATATAATGTAATTCTTTTTATCCAAATTCTAAATTAATTAAGTTGGTTAATTACAATTATTAATTACCAGGTGCATTTTCACATATGTCACAGCAAGGAACGTCACTGGGATTTGCCAGACCTACTCGCACGTGCCGACTAGCAAGCTTATTACACATATGTACCTGCCATGGTCATGTTAGATCAAAACTTTCACTGTATATATGTATATATATTTTAGGGAAAAAAAAAAGAAGTTACAAATTGATTGATAAAAAAAAAAATGCTTGCCACTTGAATTAATATACAAGTGGAGAACCTCAAAATCTAGTTAAAGTATTAATTATAAAAAATTGAAGGTGGTTAATCATACAATTTTGATCAATATCTGGTTTCATTTAGGTTTAACACCAGTAACTAATTTGCAATTAAAGAACACTAATTTGCAATAATCGTTTAATGGTAGTGTAATTGTCTCAAAAAACTATAAGAATTCTATGAATTCAAACTCCAATCCAGAGTGAAATTAATTTAAAGAATAGTAAAATATTTCTTAAAACCAAAAAAAAAATATTAAGAAAAAAATTGAATCTAGTAATATTAATCTCAATATAATAACTAATTAGAGGTAAAAAAAAATGCTTGCCAACTTGATTAATATACAAGTGAGAACCTCAAATCTAGTTAAAGTATAATTAATTAAAAATTGAAGGTGTTAATCATACAATTTTGATCAATATCTGGTTTTCATTAGGTTTAAACAGTAACTAATTTGCAATTAAAGAACACTAATTTGCAATATCTTTAATGGTAGTGTAATTGTCTCAAAAAACTATAAGATTCTATGAATTCAAACTCCAATCAGAGTGAAATTAATTTAAAGAAAATAGTAAATATTTCTTAAACCAAAAAAAAAATATTAAGAAAAAAATTGATCTAGTAATATTAATCTCAATAAATAACTAATTAGAGGTAAAACTAACTTTGATTTATTAATATATATATATTTTAATTAAACATACCTTCTCGTCGCAGGCACCGCAAAGCGCGGCCTCATCAGCAGCACAGAAGACAACAGCGGCGGCGTTCTCACAGGCATCGCAAAGCGTTCGCATAATTCTCTCTCAAATGATCTCATATCTCCAATCCAAAAACAACGATAATCGAGAATAAACAATTCATTTTACAGTAAGTATTACTTAATATAATAATCCAAGTCGTAAAAGGATCGATATAACAAAATGGTTAGATTAATTTCCCGTGTTGTGGCCGTCGTTGATGGCGGCGGTTAAGGGTAAGACTAAGAGTTAAGAGAAGAAGAAGAAAAGGAGAAAGAAGAAGAAGACCAGGACAGTAGAGACAGGTTTAAGAAACAAAACGAGGATAAAGAGGGGGGGGGTTAGTGAGTGGGGCCAAAAGGTGATACGAGTAGAAAATAGACACGTGGATTTTATTAAGCACTCAACTACCACAAACTTAGGAAGGCAGTGGGGTTTGATGGTGTCTATTGGGTGATTCTGAACCACTAATTACATGTCTAATAGTAATAATGATGGGGTCCATTATTTTTTTTTTATTGTCATTTTATGAATTTATCACTTTATCTTTTGTTTGGTTGTCCACAAAACATTAGCCATTAGGGCATCTAATTCCTTCCCTTTTCTGTCCTCTCAAAATCTTGCTCCCATTTCTATTCTTGACTTATCAACTTTTGATTAATACATGTATATTTTTATTGGATGAGTTGTTGGAATGGTTCGTGCATCTTTAAATATAGTTCAATGGATTAATTCACCTCGACTCAATTTCTATTTTGATCTTTAAATATAATTTTATTATGCCAGTTAAAATATTTTAATTTGAAATATATATATCGATTAAATACTTAATTATTAAATAATTAAAAAATATAAAATTTATTATTTTAAAGATTATACCTATACATCTAAGTGGATATTTTGCACATATCAATTTTCAAATGCAATTTATTATTTTAATTTTGATTTCGGTTCTCATTTACACTGAAACTGAATTCGATTGATCGAATTGAAAAATCGATTTATAAATAAATATATTTTTAATTTCAAGCATCATATTTTGTTATTTAAAAACAATTCTTTTTTTTTTTTTGTTGTTACTATTTAATAATATAATGGTGCATAAACTTAAACTATTTGTCCCACACACAAAAATTAATATCTAATCATTTCTTATTATATATAATATTTTGTACTCTTTAAGTCTTGAAGTTACATACACATATTAATAAATTTTAGCGATGGTTATCGTTCCATTTACAAAAAGCCTTTGGACATCAAGAAAGCAAAAGGGTTTAGTGGGCCTGACAAAGATCTAACCTCAAAAATAAAGAAAGCCCACTTAAACAAACCCAAAGTCCAAAATGAAACCTATATGAGCAGCGGACCATGAAACTCAAGATAGACGAGCACCACCATTATTATTTTCTTTTCCTAGCATGGAAAATTACAATATTAGATAGACTCGTGATCGAAATAGTAAATCAAATAATCTTTTTAAGAAATCAACATAAAGCTGAAGGTAAATGTATAAGATAGAAATTTTACAATGTGTCAAGCCATTTAATTTCAATTAAGAACCTAATTGCTAAATTTACATTTAATTGCTCTCCCAAATAGCCCATATATTTATATTAATCTAATAATTTAAAAATAGAGAACCACCCAATTGGTGTAACCCATATAGATAAGTAAATTTAGTATAGCTAAAAGAAATTATAAAAAAATAAAATTTAATAATCGGAATAACGTTCTGTAGCACAACAGAGTCAGTCCTTTTGAATTGAAAACCTCTCACGTTCTATATGTTCAACAAGAAATAGAAAGATCAACCAAACCATACATTATTGACGAACCTAAGATACTTTAATCAAGATAAATGTGAAAAAAGAAAAAGAAAAAGAGACCGAAAAACCTAACCAAAGTTCAAAGACAGCTATTCCAAGAAAAATCTCCATAATAATGTGTATAACTAATTCACCATCATCCATCCATCTCTTATTATTCTTGTGGTGGAGAAGGTAAGGGGGAAAAACAAAATCCCAACAATGAAGTTTCTTTCCTGTACTATATGTGATATGTCTAAAGTTTCTTGTGGAAAGAAAAAGCTATTGTACCAGAAGAAGCTATTAGACTCTGGCCGATCTCCATTTTGCATTTTTATTACTAAGTGGTAATACAATAATTATACTTCACCTGCAATGTTGCTCTATCTTCCAACTAACCATGCACATGAAATTTCTTATCCACACACTTTTTAGTGGGAAAAGGGTTAATTGGGGTTAGGGATAAGGTCACAACTCATTTTTTAATAACCATATGATAAAGAAAACAAGTCAAATTTGAGTTGGTCGACCTGCAATTCTTTTTTTGATATTTAATAATTTTTAAATCATGATGAATATCTTTTTTTCAAGTAATATATAAATTAAAAAAAAAATCAACTTGTTCTTAAATCAATAGTTTAATTAAACGCAAATGTTTAATAATCCGTTTAAATTGCAGAATTGTAATATATAGCTTTATGCTATATTATGTCTAAAAGAAAAAAAAAAAAATTCTCAAAAGTGTAGCAAATGGATCAACCACAATGACCACTCTCATTGACTTTAAATACAACAGTTAAGATGTAGTTAAAAAAAGAAAAAGTCACACCCCTTTTCATAATAACCAATAATATTGTTTGGTAAACCATTCTTTTTGTTTTTTTTTTTTTTTAAACCACTAATATCTGTATCCTATTATCAAAGACTGTCTAATCCGACTCGGAATTTAATTACAGTTAAAGTTTTTCGCTTCTCTCTACCGATGCGTTTAATGGGCATCAAATTCGAGAGTTCTTCCATATGTTCAACATGTGTTGCCAACTGAATCACAACCCGTATATTAGTAAAGCATTTTATTAATTATTAGGTATGCAGGTTTCAATTGCATCTCAACACCCTTTAGTAAAAACATATTATTAAAATAATTAGTATAAAAAATAAAAAGAATAACAAGAACTAAGTTTTATTTCCAACTAGCACTAATATAAAAAAGCATTTTAACTAATTTTATAATTGGAAGCTAAATATTTTTTCCTCCTTTGTATATAACAAAAATTCTTAAAAAATGCTATAAAATATGAACTTTTAACTTCTTATATTTGCAATTTTGCGAAATATTTGTTTCTGCTTAGGTACCTACTCAACATTCACCATGTGAGAACCTGCAAGAAGGAGCAGGTTACTTACCCTTTTGTCTCCTATTTTAGTATATTAATTAATTGTAATTAGACAACAATTATTTTTGGGTAATAAAACTATCATACATATAGTCTCGATAAGCATAATATTCCCTCTTGATAATCTCCAAATTCGCATCAAAAGATGATAAATTTCAGACATTTGACACTAACAAGAACCTGGGTGATAAGTACACACAAATATGTATTCACACACCACAAGTTGAAATTGGTGATGCCATGTGTTGGATTCTGTGTATGTATCCTCATTCTTCAACCAATGGACAAGTCTCTATTTCAAAGCACTTGTAATTATTAATTAATAATTATTAAGCATTGGGCCAATTTGGTTTCACATATACAAACTATAGGTTGTCCAGTGTAGAAATTTGAAATTAAATATATTATATGATAAGATTTTTTATGGCCATAGAGGATCTTGATAGCTACACCCACACCAATGAATTTAGCTTCTTATATTATACTTGTTAAACCTTTTATCTCTCTAAATTAAATATTTTTTTACTTCTCAACTTGCGCTATATGATATAACATTTTGAAATTTTATTAATTTTTAAATACAAATATAATTTATTTATAATTAGACAGCAAGAATGTCTCTGTCGAATTGTAAATAAATTAAACCTCTACTCATTTCTTGCATGACATCCCAATTATTAAAAAACAAAAACATGATACGAATACATCTAATTAATCAGAATTTGTCATGATCAAGTAATGAATCGGCTTCGAAATAAACCCTTAAGATTGAGACTATATTGCAGCCTTTCGTTATCATTAGTATATCAAATATGTACAAATATAAGTCATTTTCATAAATTCATGCACATTGTAGTGAAATTTTGACAAAAAAAAGAAAGGCAAAGTGAAATGAAGAACAATAGATGAGCAAATGAATTGAAGGAGGCAGCCAAAATAGACAATAGTGAAGTTGATAATACTTGGGAGTTAGGTGTTACAAGTATGAACCTTGTCAAAATATATGACTTTTTAAAGGGCTGTTGCTATCACAATAGCCATGATTATCATGATTATTTGGTTAGAAGGTTGCAATCTAAAGAAAAGAAAAAGCTTCATTGTCAAAGCTCAAAAGTGTGTTTTTTGAACCATATCTCTGTGTAAGTTGTAGGACTACCAGCATATGCATTTGTGGTTTATTTGTATATTTGCCTCTTGAGTCTTGATAGGGAGTTGATGATAATTAGCTATCTAAGAGCTAGCTTGATTGGGAAATTTTTCTTTTTTATTTTCTTTATTCAATTTGATTTCAATTTTTAAGAAAAAAAAAAGTGCAATGAAATGATCAAACTAGGTAAAGTTCACTTGAGGATATACCTCACTTGGCATGAATTTTTCGGTTTCAATTTTTGTTTGGAAATTAGTCATCTCTCTTTCTCCCAAAATTTAAAGGCTCTCTTTTTTCTTCCATGGGCGGCCGCCCGTGAGCTCTCATTAGTAGTCACTCACTTCCCTTTTTTGTTAATTTTTTTCAAATAATTCTCAGATTTGCATCTTTTGATACATATTTGAGTCATTATTACTCGACTATTGCAATTTATTGTTACTCATATCCTTTGATTTATTTCTCAGATCTAATTAAATTATTGCTATTACCATTATTATAAAAATCTAGGGTATTTTATTATTTGGACAACTGTGCAGATATCTTTTATAATAAAAGGAAGAAATTTGAATGTTATCGAATTTGACTTATAAAAAGACCATGAATTCAAACAATGACTATGATTAGCTGCTAAATGGAGCAAGCAATCGCCTATAGCACAATATGCTTTGTGAACTCGATTAGATACTTCAAATCAAATCAAAATTGTGTTTCTTTTATTCTATTTATAAATTATTTATTATTAGATTTCCTATACAAAAATTTAAAAATATATTGATCTCATATTTATATACAACTTCCTCTTAATGAAATTTCTATTTGATTTCTTCTAAAAAAAAACTGAGTCTTCTAATTACATTCAAGACTTCCACTTAATATGATATTTAAAAAATTACCAATAATACCAACTAATTACTTGCATAATAAAAAAAACGAAACAACGAGTACACAAGTCTCTATCCCACTAAATTAAATCTAATTTTACACACACCGCATCAGATTTTTAAAGAAACAGGCTTTCAATATAGATTTTCTCTATTCACAAGGGTTGAATATTCGACTACTTGTTTAAATGATCAAAATCACTTCCATTGGGAACAATCCTATCCATTAGTAACGTGAGAAACTCTTTAATGTTTGATAATTGATAAAGTAGTGCAGTTCAGAGCCATGATAGGAAATCAAATGAAAGATGTTTAAACAATGAGGTCGCTATTGGTTTAAAAAAAAAAAAAAAAAGAGATTAAGGTTGGCTCAGTCATATAATTCTAGATCACGTTAAATTAGATTAGGGCAACATTGACATTTTCATTAGACTTGTTGACGAGAATTTAGAATTACCAATGACGAATTCTAAACTCTCGTCAACGAGGTCGTTCTAAATTTTAGTAAAGGAGTCTCATTTGGTAATTTCTGATTTGGTGGCAGAATATATCAAAGATTTCGACATTTTTACTTAATTCCATGTTTTTATTACGGGTGAAATCTTAAGAGAAGAGGAAATAAAAGCTCTAAACAAGAAAATAAATTTTAAAAAATCATATAAAATAGGAAATCATATAAAATAAGAATTTTCATTAATTTCATGAATTTTCTTTTTTTGTTTTCTCGACAAGAACTCTGATAAATTAATTTCCATTAATAAGTTAAAAAAAAAAAGGCTAAACAGAACAACAACAATAGGACAAACACAGCTGGCAGTCCAACGTTCAAATTTTAGTTAAAAAAACAAAAGAACTGTTTAATTACCAATCCTAATTTCACCTAAATCATAGTCGCGACTCGCAAAGTAATAAACATTGGAGTCAGGGGTAGGCCATCTTCCATCTCTTAAATCTACAATCATAGCCACGTGTACGGCTCAAGAAAATCTAACACCAACTATAGCAGCGAAATTTAAACGGTCAAGTTGGTGGGTTCCGTTAGCTACGCTATATAGGAAGAAACTAAGAACTGTTTGCTATCTCAACTCTCCCACGTGGGCTCCACCACCTTCACCTCCCCCTTATAAAAATCACCTTCTCCGCCTCTAATTTAACCAGTTAACCTAATACCTCGCTTGTCTCCATCTCATGCTCTGCTTTTCCAAGATACAGAGCATGGCGTCTCTCTCATTTTTCTTTTTGCTTCTCTCTTTCTTTGTTTTTGCAGGTATTTTTACTTTCTCTTTCTTCTTTACGTATTTTCTTTTCTTGCTTGTCGTTCTAATGGCTCATTCTCTTTCTTTTTATTTTTATATTCTGCAGATGCAACAGGTAAAATTGGAGTCAACTATGGCAGAATAGCCAATAACTTACCCACACCGGAAAAAGTGGTGGAGCTTTTGAAGTCACAAGGGATCAACCGAGCCAAGCTATATGATACTGATTCTACCGTTTTAACAGCTCTCGCCAACTCAGGGATAAGCGTCGTCGTTGCTCTTCCCAACGAGCTCCTTGCCTCTACTGCCGCCGATCAGTCATTTGCAGATAAATGGGTTCAAGCAAATATTTCTCAGTATTATCCACAAACACAAATAGAAGCCATTGCTGTTGGTAATGAGGTTTTTGTTGACCCCAATAACACAACCAAATTTCTCGTACCCGCCATGAAAAACGTTTATAACTCTCTTGTTAAGTTTAATCATTCTTCTATTAAAATCTCGTCTCCTATAGCTCTTAGTGCTCTACAGAGTTCTTACCCGTCTTCAGCCGGGTCGTTCAAACCCGATTTGGTTCCTGTAATGAAACCCATGTTGGAGTTCCTGCGTCAATCCGGATCGTATCTTATGATTAATGCGTACCCTTTTTTCGCTTACTCTGCTAACTCAAAAGAAATCTCTTTAGATTATGCTCTGTTTAAAGAGAACCCAGGTGTTGTGGATTCAGGTAGCGGATTAAAATACAATAGCCTTTTGGAAGCCCAACTCGACGCTGTTTTTGCTGCCATGTCTGCTATTCAATACAGCGACGTAAAGATGGTGGTGACTGAAACCGGGTGGCCTTCAATGGGAGACGAGGACGAGATTGGTGCAGGAGAGGAAAATGCGGCGTCATATAATGGAAATTTAGTGAAGAGAGTCTTGACAGGCAATGGGACCCCTTTGAGACCACAGGACCCACTTAACGTTTACTTATTTGCCTTGTTTAATGAAAACCAGAAACCGGGTCCCACATCAGAGAGGAATTATGGGTTGTTTTACCCTAACGAACAGAAAGTATACGACATACCACTAACACAGAAAGAGTTAGTGAATAGCCAATCAACGCCGGTGAGCGGGAACAAGAGTCAAGTTCCGGTGACCGGAGAAGTGTCTAAGACTTCGGTGGGCCAGACTTGGTGTGTAGCCAATGGAAATTCTGGAAAAGAGAGGCTACAAGCAGGGCTAGATTATGCCTGCGGAGATGGAGCTGCAGATTGCCGTCCGATCCAAGAAGGTGCGACGTGTTATAATCCAAATACATTGGAGGCCCACGCTTCGTATGCTTTTAACAGTTATTATCAAAAGAAAGCCCGTGCTGCTGGCACGTGTTCTTTTGGTGGTGCAGCTTATGTGGTCACGCAACCTCCTAGTAAGTATATTATAATCTCCCTTATTTTTCCTACTTGATTTCATCATTGACGTACCCAATAGACAAAATTCCACAATTAGCCAAACAAATTTGATATCATTCAAATCAATTGGTTCACATTTTCCCAATTCTAAAATTTCTATACAGTCTTTGGTTTGGTAATTTCATGTCAGCAATTAAATTAAGAATCAAAAACCAAATTTATCTAAATCATAAATAAAAATTTTATTTATTTTTTTTAATCAATTGAGGAATTATTACAATCAGTTCTCAGAAAATCAATTGACGTATCGTTATTTATTAATATATTTGAATTCTTTTTTGCAGGATATGGGAACTGTGAGTTTCCTACTGGATACTGATTGGACAATAAATACAAGTGATTAGCGAAATATCAGCTGCAGATTTGCTATATTTATTTTTTATTATTTTTTTACTACTAGATATTATATGGAAATTAGGAAGTATTTCTTATTTTCATTTTTTTTTTCATACATGTTTATTATTATTAGTATATAAATAATAATTCTTATATAGTCATGATGAGTAGTTGTGATTATTATGAGTTGGTTTGACAATTTTGCAGTTATTGTTTTTATTCCGCATTTTTTTTTTTTTTCTAATGGAATGTTGGATTAGAATGTCTCTTAGCGTTTTTCTGATGTTGGGTTGGTTTTGAAATTTTGTTTATTTGGTTAAGCAACGTTTGGGTGACGAAAATATGGAAAGAAATGTTAATGATGCCTCAGGTACAACACAAGGTCTTCTTGATGATTGGAAGTCAATTTTAAAATCATAAGAGTTAGAGTTTGTCGGTTTTCCTCTTCCTTCTATCATAAATAGTTATTTTCAAAAAAAATATATCGGAAGGCATTAAGCCCAATTAAGAAATAACCCGAGTCCAAATTGCACCGACCACGTCAGCTTCAAGGAAATGCTGAACCTCAAGGGAATCGGACTGATGTTCCTAAATTTTTATTAGATGCCTAATCTATTTCAAAATTAATTTTTGTAGTAATTTATCTCCTTTTTTTGTTGACATAAGAAAGCTTAAATAATAAAAATATTAATATAAATGTAAAACAAAATTCCATTCAAAATGATAAAAAAATATTGGTTTTCAACATATAAATACTACTTGGATCTAAATATAAAAGTAACTTAGATATATCAAATTAGATGATAATAGATTCAGTTTGAATCTCACTCTACAGATACTTTAAAAAAAAAAAAATAGATAATCACAAAAAGTTTAGAGGTCCAGATTCATTTAATAATTTCTACTACAAGAATCTATTTTGATGAACTGGAAATAGTAGATATATGTCTTGTATTAATCCACTCCCATGAAAGTTTGGTGCCAAAACTCTCAACCATATCTTGTTGCAGATTCATATTATCTCAAGTCATAACCCAATACATATTGTAGAAGACAACCTTTACCTGAGCCCATCTTCAATCAGAGATGGCAAAGCCTACCCAACTGTAATGGGCTTTTGGACCCTCAGACCCCTTAGTTTTCCAAAATTGTTAATATCAGAGAATAAACCCACCAAAACGATAATAACGTTATTATAATAAAGAACAAAAATGTAAATAACATTGTCAGGATGGCCGAGTGGTCTAAGGCGCCAGACTCAAGTTCTGGTCCTCGTGAGAGAGCGTGGGTTCAAATCCCACTTCTGACATTATTTTTTTTATTAGACGTCAGAACAATTATCTTTTTACCTTTTGCATAGGAACAATTGCTACTGATTCTTTATTTATCTCTTATTTTCTTTTAGTTTATAGCAATATTATTTAGGCAACTCTGATGATACCAAAATTACTACTCCAATAAACAAGGTAACTCCATAATTGAGTCAATTTATAAAAAAACGATTTCTAAAGTAAGTACTAATGAAATACTTATAAATATAAATACGAATCATTTTGAGAATATTAAAGAATAATTGAGAATATTAAAGAATAGTTAATTAGTGAAATAACCTTAATAACAACAATGTAAGATAGCAAGGTTTTTCTAAAAATTAAATTAAAAAATCTCTTTTGCTGAGATTACTGAATGGGGAAAAATAATCAAAGGGACAACGCATAAAGAGAAATATAAAACCAGAAAAATACAGTGATTACTGACTGGGAACACAAACCCCTATATGCTTGCTTTTGGAAAAACAGAATACTATTGAAGAAATGCAGGGCCCCAAGCAACGCAAGGTCAGACCTTCACCACCTAACTTTCCCGCCACAGCCCAAACCCAACTCTTCCTTCTTTTTTTTTTTTTTTTTTTTTTTATTATTAAAGAATAGTTAATTAGTGAAATAACCTTAATAACAACAATGTAAGATAGCAAGGTTTTTCCTAAAAATTAAATTAAAAAATCTCTTTTGCTGAGATTAACTGAATGGGGAAAATAATCAAAGGGACAAACCGCATAAGAGAAATATAAAAACCAGAAAAATACAGTGATTTAGCTGACTGGGGAACACAAAACCCCTAAATATGCTTGCTTTGGAAAAACAGAAATACTATTGAAGAAATGCCAGGGCCCAAGCACGCAAGGTCAGACGCTTCAACCACCTAACTTTCCCGCCACAAGCCCAAACCCACTCTTCCTTCTTTTTTTTTTTTTTTTTTTTTTTTTTTTTAATTCCATAATAGCCAACGCTTCCCACAAGTAAAAATCACAAAAGGCGACACATGTTTTGAAATAATTAAAAAAAAAAAGATAGGTAGCGTAAACACGTTTAAAGCATAGTAACGGGTCGCTTTCCCCGCGCATTAACCAACAAAAGAACAAGAGGAAAAAAGCCGTGGCCGCTACCCGCAAGCTGCTCGCTGCACGCTGCATTGCCCGGGCGTTAGCGTGCGGCGTTTTCTTCTCCCACACCATATTTTCCCTATAACATAGATAAAGAAGAAAACCCCCCAACAAAGCGTCATCTTAAAGTTACTTGCAGCAATTCAAACTCGCAATCCGTCACTAAAAATATTATCCTAAATTTTTTTTTTTTTTTTTTTTTATGATCAGGAAATTTAATCCTCTCTGAGCCGTAAAACACAAGCATAAAAGCTTTACATTTAAGGTGGATCTAGAATGCTTCAATTCCTAGATAAGTTATCTCGATTAAATAACTTATTTTTCATCCGAGAACCATAGAAAAATTGGAAAAATGAAATCCAAAATGATTTCAAGTAAAAAAGGAAAAAGAAAAAAAACATAATTGTTACTGTGGCAGTAATGATGTTGACATGGCAGGGCATCAGCGGTTAACTTAGAACCCTTCCTGACCTCACCGGACACCACCCAGACGGCCAGACCCATCAATGGTGTCCCCACTTGGCACCCATATCCATCCACCCACCCAGCCGCTCATTCCGGTGTGCTGCACGCAAACATCGATAATTATAGTTTTTTTATTTATTTAACATTTTTACACAAAGGGAAAATATAACCAAAAAAAACCGGTCAAAACCCAGTTTTAAAATACAAACATTCAATCATCATATTAGGAATTCACACGTGTCAGTCATCCAGAGACTGAATTAAGTGTAAAATAAATAACACCTGTCGGTTGGCGTGACTGACCCTCGAGTCACGAGAGACCGGCCCATAGATCCTGCAATTTGGTCTGCGAATAACTAGCCGGTAATATATGACCGGGAAACTGCGTGGTGCCGGTAAAAGTGGAAAGGAAAATCAAAAGGATTACGCAGCTTTGTTGTGTAGGAGTAGACAGGTGGCTGATGCACTGGCCTCAACGGGGTCCACCACCAAACACGTCTTGAGATACGGAGTGTTGGGTTTCAAAATTCGTTTTTTTTTATTCAATTTTTTTATAAATAAATCGTAGGAGTTAGGGGCTGGGTTAGGGTTGGACCAGTGGTTGTGGGGTCGGGTATGGTGGGGGCCCACACAGTATGGTCAAAATTAGATTTTGGTTGGTTTTATTTTTAGGGGTACGTGGGAATTTGGATCGTGCCATTTATGTCCCCAAACCGTAAATTGAGGATACGGAAAATCCATATTTCTTGTAAATGTATATACACTAGGAATAGCAACGGATCGAGTGGAAAGCGAGCTGTGCCTAACCCATCTCCTTCCAATGCACATAAATTTCGATACCTCATAATGATATATATTTTTAATTACAATAAATCCCGCCTCATTTTCTAAAAATTTGCTAATTATTATAACAAATAAATTCTAATATTTCATATATTAAACCTTAATCTCTTCCAACAACATTCAAATGTGAAAATGGTGGTTTGATACTTTTTTTTTCTCTGTTCTTTTCTTATTAAGAATCTAAATTAAACTTAAATTTTAATTTTCATGTTCATATTGAAGCCACCAAATTGTCTTATCCAAGAACTTTGCTACTCCTTTAATTATAACCATTAAGGAGAAAGCCAACAAAGAAAAGAAGCCAAAAGAAAAAGTGGAAAAACTTCAAAATATATATATATTTTAAAAAAAAAAATTTAAATTTGATTATTTGAGTTTGCGTAACATATCAAAAATTGTGAAGTAAATTCAGTACAAACTTTACATTTGACAAATCTTGAGAACTACGAAATGTTTTTTCTTTTTGCCATCAATATTTTCTCTCTCTTTTTTCTCATAAACAAATTGCATAACTTTAACTTTTATTTACCTTATTATTACAATGATAACTTGGCTGAATTTTTCTTTTTAGTTTTATCGCAATAATGAAAGAATAATTATTGAAAAAAATGATTTTTTAAAAAGAAAATTGACAATTAATTCATTGGTAAGCAACATATTATAAATACTTTACAATGCAAATATATCATAATATGGACTATTGAAATTTTTTGCTTAAAAAATAATTAAAATAAGAGAAATTAAGCTTTTAGACAATAATAAAATACCCTTTTTCATTTTTCTTTATCAGCCATCAGTTCAGTTTTATTTGGAAAAAGTATTAAATAAAAGAAGAAAAAACTTATCAAAACCGAGCGAAGCTAAATCCGAGCTAGCAGGTTTTCTTTATACACTCAAGAATTAAGAATTAGGGATCCTTTTCAATTTTTGATTTTTTTTTTTTTTTTGAATCTTTTAAAAACCAATTCACCATGGTCATAAGATGCCATAATTTGATTTGATATATGGAATTTCTAAAAAGCAAGGTAGACCAAAGTTCTACCCTCTTTAAAATCCTTAGCATTAGCAAGCTGACCTAAAAATTAAAATTTTGATTACACCTTGCCATTGCCATCCATGGTGGTTAGGACATACATAATTGTGTTTTTTTTTTTTTTTTTTTTTTTAAAATTAAAATTTTGATTACACCTTGCCAATTGCCAAATCCATTGGTGGTTAGGAACATACATAATTGTGGTTTTTTTTTTTTTTTTTTTTTTTTTTTTTTGATTAATCCTAAATGCTTTTGTGTCATGTAGTGGTGAGAGAGGTCAGTAAGGTAAGACGTTCGAATTATCCTTGGCGCCTAATCTTTTCTACACATTCACATAAGGGCCACTGTATTGTTAGGATGCCTACATTAGTGACCCAAAAAAGGATTGCCAAGATCAATTTTTTTTTTTTTTTTT